GTTGTTTAAGTGTTCCCTTTATTTTTTAAGCAGTGTATATTTAGCATGTCAGGCAGGTAGAATGCTAATGTAGTTCTAGTTAGATTAAAATTCATTTAGTTCAGGTACAAATGTCATTGAATGACTACTACCCCAAGTAGTCAGAGCCACCACCTAAGTCGCCCAATTGGCCAGAACTGTCTCCTAAATTCCCTGATTGGCCAGACCCACCTTCTGGATTTCTCTAATGGCCAGGGCCACCAAAGCTGTCTGATCTGCCAGAGTCTCCAGATATGCCCATGCTTCCTGACCCAGGCCTACCTCAACTTCACACCCCAGGCCTGCTTCAGTTCCATGCCCAGGGTCACCTCAGCTCCATGCCCGCTTCACCTCTATGCACCAGGACCAACTCAACTCCACGACTCAGGCCTGCTTCAGCTCCATGCCCCAGGGCCACCTCAGCTCCACGCCTCATGCGTGCTACAGCTCCATGCCTCAGGGCCACCTCAGCTCCATGCCCCCTAGGACCAACTCAGCTCAATGTTCCATGTTTGCCTCAGTTACACACTCCAGGGCTGTTTCAGCTCCATGTTCCTGTGCTGCTTCAGCTGCATGGACCTGCCCCTCTGACCTTGTCTGCATCTGCTCTGCCTCCCTACTGAAATGTAGGTCTGGATTATTCTTTGGAGTGTCTATCACGTGCTTTTTCTGTGTTTATTCCCTTTTATCTTTGAGTTGTTTTTTTTTTTTTGTCACACCCTGTACTTAGTTATCCAGTTTGTCGTTATAGTTATTTATTGTCGATACCCCTCTTCTTATCTTGTTTAACCTGATCATTTCCCTGCACTACATATCATCTTACATTTGCCTCTCGTTGTCTGTTGTTGCTCCCAATATGTTCAAGTGTTCCCTGTTTTATTCTGCTTTTGTTTTGGTAATTAATAAGTTTAAATGCTGCATTCTCACTTTGTTTTTTCCTGATGGACCATGACAATACATATAAACAAAGAGACACACAAAAAGTAGATAGGTACATGTCTACTAAATGATTAAAGGAAATGTTTTTGTAGCACAGGCTTTCATGCTATGCTCTGTGACACATATGTAAAAAAGTCTCATATTACATCACCTAACCTAAACAATGCGGAACAAAATGCATGTCTTTTTTTTCCTCATAGCAACACATGGCTCATGAACCAAGCCCAAATATGCAGGAGAAAAAAAAAAAACTCACACATTTATGAATAAAAATTATGAAAAATACAGTTTCATGACCATTAAAGCATTGCCTTTTGAGTTTTGTCAAAGGGAACACCCTGTTTACCTTCTGCATTACAATTTCTGAAAATCTCACCCTGTGCTTTAAAGCAGAAAAGCTCAAAAAAAGTCTTTCAGAAACTATAAAGCTCTGCTGCAAGATCCGGCTGCTTAGTTATTCAATGTTTTGGGATGGAATGAGGAAGTATGAAAATGTGTAATTAAACAACACGTAGAAGGGTAATCCAGAACTTAGCATGATAGGTAGTTGATTTAGTCCAGTGTCTCCTGAAAGTTGACACTGTAAGGATTTTGCTGCTATAACAATAAGCATCTGAACAGAGAACGACCAAGTTTCATTCCAGCAAACCTGTAATGCAACATGCTTTTAGACTGTGCAGTTTAATCATTTAAAGCATATGCTAACCGACAGAACTGGTACTGTATACAAATCAAGTATTCACAATCAGTCTAAAGCGTTCCACTTTCGTATTTACAAATACTATTCATGGTTAACTCTTAAGTTTAAATACTGTTTTTTTTACACCATAAGTCTCAAACTCATCTCCTGGAGTGCCACAGCACTGCACACTTTTGCTCCAATCATAATCAAACACAGCTGATTCAGCAAATAAAGGTGTTAAAGACTACTAGAGACTATTAAGGTGTAACCGGAGGGCCGGTGTCCTGCTAGGTTTAGCTCCAACTTGCTTCAACACACCTGCCAGGAAGTAGTAAGAAATGATTAGCTGGATTAGGTGTGTTTGATTAGAGTTGGAGCTAAACTCTCCAGGACACAGGCCCTCTAGGACCGTGCTTGGATACCCTTGTAATCAGATAAAATATTTTATTATAGGTTGGATTGCATGGTTGCATTTGTAGAGTATGCATAGAAATTACTAATTTTTTAAGACTAATTCTTGCCTCGTTTTCAATTATTATTTAAAGTGTATTTTTAAAGTAAACTTTTAAAATCATATTTACACTCAAACTTGTACACTCACTAGTTGCAGTGGTGCAAATATCCCTCTAACTGGCATTGTAACCACTTGGTTGACCTTTTTCCTTAGGTTTTTATTGGAACGAAACTTAAAACTTGTGTCAAGAACAAAATTCAAACTAAGCAGTTGGACTTTTTTCTTAGAAGCTATTAAAAGGGATATTGCATACTTAAAAAAATTGTTTAAAGCCCAAAATCTTCCAGAGATGAACACAAATGTCATATTTCTAAAAGTGCCTTTGACTTAACTAATTAACCGAAAACATTACTAATTAGTTTATAAATTACATGTACAAGTTACATGTAATAAAATAACATGACACAAAGAAAAATATTGAACACATAAAAACAGGTAGGTTTAAAAAGGCATGGAAAAACCAGACAGCAGCATTTTTTAGGAAACAATCCGGTCCCTCATCAATGTAAATGAATATTAGCTGCTTCAGTTCCAAAAGCTACATTATCAAATGATGATGATGAAACCAGAGTTGACATTTTAGCAAGGCAATGACTTCAGACACAGACAAGCAATTCTTAACTGGTTTAAGAAAAGAAAATAAAGCTTCTAGAATGGCTTAGCCCAGGGGTGTCCAAACTTGGTCCTGGAGGGCCAGTGTCCTGCAGAGTTTAGCTCCAACTTCCTTCAGCACACCTCCCTGAAAGTTAAAGTACACCTAGAAAGAGCTTGATTAGCTGGTTCAGGTGTGTTTAATTGAGGTTGGAGCTAAAATATGCAGGACACCGGCCCTCCAGGACCAAGTTTGGACACCACTGGCTTAGTCAATCACCTGACCAGAATCCAATAGAGAAAATAAGAATTAAAAATCACAGATTTCACAGAAGACATCCATACAACTGACAGGACTTTTTTTTTTTTTTCTGGACACAGGGCATCCTTTCGGCACAGTAGTTTAAAAGGGCATTTGTGGATGTAACTATGTATTGTGGTACTTGACAAAGGTTTGCCAAAGTAGTCCTGGGCCCATGTAGTGATATCGCTTACAGATGAATGATGATTGTTGATGCAGTGCCGCCTGAGGGATCGAATATCACTTTAGTTCAGCTTAGGTTTGCTCCCTTGTCCTTTACACACTGAAATTCCACCAGATTCCTTAAATCTTTTAATTATGTTATGCACAGTTGAAAATGAAATATAAACATGTTGCCCTATTTTTCTTTGAGGAACATTGTTTTATATATAATAAATTTAAAAATACACATTTTTAAAATATATTATAGATAACATTTTATCATGTCTTTGTTGGCAAACTGGCGATCCTCAGCCCATCTTTGCTCCTAAGGGACTAGACTTTTCTTAGATGCTGCATTTGTACCAAATCAAAATTACAATCACTTGTTAACATCACTTGTTTCTAATCACATCATTTAATTTATCTGATTACTAGCCCTAAACTGCTCCTGACCCAACTTTTTTTTGTAAAGAAACAAAAAAACAAAAAAAAAAAAACAAAGAAAAAGAAGTTGACTAGACAAAACATGAAATATTTTGTGTTCATATAGTCTGCAAGTCAAATCAAAGTAAATTTGCAAATGACTTTTTTTTGTTGTTGTTGTTTACTTGATTTTCCATAACATCCCAACCTTTTCTGATTTGAGCTGTGCTTACCAGGAAAAAACATTGAATGTTCAATACCTATTTTACCTGCTTTATAAACTTCATTACTAAGAGCTTTAATTTAAGCCAAAAAAAGCAGCAAGAAGAGGCAACAGCGGTTTGGTCCTTTACTCTTGACTGAACACAAAACATTCATTTCTTTGACATACATCAAACCACATGATACTCTTTTTACAAATCCTACTATCTTTAAAAACAACTGCACATACTGACCAAAGCTTGAATTCACTATACTAATCACTGGGTCAAGTCAGTACAAAAAAAGAGCATCATTTGCTCACTGAGACATGTGTTGGGTAATTTATATATAAAAAAAGCAACTGTTGCAGAAAATATCTAAAGGGCACATTCGTAGTTTAAAATAAAAATGACTGCACAGGAATCGGCTCTATTGGCACATCGTTAAGGCTTGATGTTGAACATTGATAATTTTTAATGAATCAGATCATGAACAGCAGTATGGTATAGAAGTAATTGGCAATGGTAGTTTTTAGCATGTGGTGCAATTATACCACATTTATAGCTATTATAGTTTGGCAATAAAACAAACTGCCACATTAGAAGAACTTTGGCACTTTTAATGTATATGCTTATTTAATCTTGATGAGTATTATTCCCCAAAGCATGTTTGGCGAAATGTAAAAAAGACCCTACTCTACTAAGCTTACTCTGAAACTGTAACATGATATTTTCCTTTTAAAAGTCAATGAAGTACTTTTCATTGCTCTTTAATGATCTTACCACACAGAATATTTAATATACCCAAAATAGAGGATTCTACGTAACATTTATAGCAAGAAGTTTAATGCTTAAAATAAAAGAAAAAACTAATTATAGCTTACTTATTTAATCTTTGATAATATGCGCAATATTTGTTTTCATTAAAGTGATATAACAACATTTAAACTGAACCCCAAAGAGAAGCTCTGAGGTGCAAATAAATAACAGCAGTCAAGAGCAGATTGTGTTACAGTTCTTAAATATAAATAACTTGTGTGTCCAGTTTCATTGAGCAGAATCCGGGAGGAAAGACAGCTCGAACAATAAAAGCAGATTTTAAATGCTCTCTGCATTAACCGATGAGTGCCTTTAACCAGGCAAGATGATGACAAAAACCAGAACTAGCCTCTTTCACACCAGATTGTATTCTTTAAGCGTGAGCTGCAAGATTGTGTCTTTGACAGCAGCGAACACAAATCGAATGTTTTCCGTGTCAGTGGCACATGTGAAATGAGAATAAATGATTTTCTCTGAGTCTGGATTCAGGTCGACAAACATCTTCAGGATGAACTCCCGTGCAGTTTGAGCATCTCTCTGAGGTCCTTAAAGAGGAAAATACATTTTGGTTAACTGCGGTCAAACCTAAAACTGAAATGTAATTCTTATAACCCAGACCAGATAGAATCTGCTGATCATTTTAGCTCTTTCTGCACATTATTTTGAAAAAACAAATGCAGAATGATTAAGAGTTGGTGCTCAAAACCTAAATAACTTTTTACAATCAAATACAGTTGAAGTCAGAATTATTAGCCTCCCTTTTATTTTATTTTTAAAATATTTGCCAAATGATTTTTAACAGAGCAAGGACATTTTCACAATATGTCTGATACTAGTTTTTCTTCAGGAAAAAGTCTTGATTGTTTTATTTAGCTAGAATAAAAGCAGTTTTTAATTTTTTAATAAACATATAAGGTCATAAATGTTTAGCCCCTTAAGGCTTTTTTTTTTTGATTATCTGCAGGACAAACCATTGACATACAAAATTTAATTACCCCAATCTGCCTAGTTAACGCATGCAAATTCCTTGTGGGCCTATAACCCCTTATTCCAAAACATAAACAGGGTTTCTGCAGATTTCATCAAGCTAAATTTAAGACATTTTAAAATTATTATGAACAAAATTTTAAACTTACATAGAGCTAAATTATAAGGATTTTTTTAATATGCCTGTCAGAAAAGATTTTCAGTTGCCCTACCAAAATATTTTTTGAAATTTAATACATTTAATAACACAGTAATAATAATTTTGTTTCAATATTGATTCATTCATTTTATTTTCTTGTTACTTTTATTGTAATATGAGGTTGCCACAGCTGAATGAACTGCCAAATTATCCAGCATATGTTTTACTTAGTGAATGCCCTTCCAGCCGCAACCCATCACTGGGAAACATTCACACACACACTCATACACTACGATCAATTTAGCTTACCCAATTCACCTATAGCACATGTCTTTGGACTTGTGGGGGAAACTGGAGCAAACCCACGCTAACATGGGGAGAACATGCAAACTCCACACTGAAATGCCAATTGACCCAGCCAAGGCTTGAACCAGTGACCTTCTTGCTGTGAGGCGATTGTGCCATCCACTGCGCCACTGTGATGCCTTTGTTTGAATATTTTAAAATACATTTTCAAATATATCCATTCACAAACCCTATAACCCTTACCAAGAATAGAACAAAACAAAGCTGCCTATTACTTCAGTCCACAATAATAATAGTTTAATAATAACATATATAGGTCAGCATCCTCAGCAGTATATAAATTATATTTTTAAATAAAATGTGGTTGATTGTATAGGTGTTAATGGTCAGATTGGGTAGCCGTACATGATCAAAGAAAAATTAATACCTGTTGAAAAAGATTTAGGACCTACAACACAAAATTTCAGTGAATGTAAAATTTTTTAAGGGCCTTAAATTTAGTTTTTGAGATTTTCAACATTTTAAGACTTTTTAAGACCCCGTGGATACCCTGATAAATATATTAGTGTATATTTATAAGACAGTTTTGAGCTAAAAACATAAAATAGTTTAAGCATGTTGTCTGTTCAATAACAACAAAAACGTTTGAAATTGATACCATTATTGACCTCATTCTTGAATGCGGTGTGCTCATTTTTGTGATTGTTTTAGAACTTCCGATTCAGTCGCCTATGGGAGAAATGACTAGGGACAATAAACAGCGGACATCGGTCAAACTACTTGCTCTACAAACAAGCTTTTGCATGACTATACAGACCAAGTAGAATAATATAATAAGAAAATATAAGTTTGCAACATTAAGTAGCATAACAAGCTGTTTTTAATGTCTAAAAATGATTATTTTAGAATTTTAAAAAGTGAAATCATCAAATACTAGTCTAAACAGCAAATTATAGTTGGGTATTTTGTTGATCTGGGTAAACAGGATTCATTTTGAGGATGGGATTTTAAAGCATTTCTCTTATATATATATTACCAATGGGAAAATGGCTTAAGTCATGCAAGTCAGGAGTACTAATAAAATGTAACACTGTAAATCAATTCATTTGCTAAGCATTAGCAAATCAGTCTAATAGCTGTAATCAGTGTATCACAATTTTCATAGTTTTTAATTTGTCCTAAAATCTGATGGAACTCTGTGTTTTTAAACTTACCATCATATTCGGGAAAGTAATCTACAAGATGTGAAAACATTATTTTCTCTTCCAAAAGGTCTTTCTTGTTCAGAAAAAGAATAACAGATGAATTCTGAAACCAGGGGTATGTTATTATCGTCCTAAACAATGCTTTGCTTTCCTCCATTCGATTCTGTAGGGGAAAATAACATAACAAGCCCATTTCAGTGGTTATTTTTATACAGCTTTAGTCCAGAAATCAACACTAACTGAATGTTCGCTGCTTTTGACAATTTCAGAGAAAAAAATAAAGTGCTTTCTTTCAAACATTGCTAAAATGAGCACAGATTCTCATTTAAGGTTCAGAATGAAAACATATTTTGTTCTCAATTGGTCATGTGATCACATGAACACCGAGGCAGCATTGCACACCACAAACCAAATGCATTTTTTTTTAAGTATAATTTTTCTGGTGTTACAAATGCATGTTGCTTAACGCACAGTGTATTTTAAGAGTAATATTTAGTATTGGTTTGGAAAGTAAAAAAAATAAATAAATAATTGTTATGTGCTCCCTCTACTACTTCGTATTTGAGTAGTAAGCAAGCAATTAATAAGAAATAATTTTAACAATTCAAAAGGTATTTTACACTTTACAATATTTCTTTTTTCAATTACTATACACTAGCCCTTGGGACTCTTTTGTTTAAAACTATTGTCCATGTAACTACAAAAAACACCAGCAAATAAAGAAACGATCTTCATGAATTTAACAGCACACGTGTTGCAAATGGTCACACCACAAACAACTGAAGAAACGCACTGCAAATTGGTCAAAACAATTGCAAATATCCACGCATCACAACGGAAATGTTTCAAGGGGACGCAAAAACATGACGGACCCTGCTGAGATATGGATGTGTTATTATATCGTGACTGTTGCTCAGTGAAGTGACTGGTGGTCTTTGAAAGGTGAATTGTTTTTCGTTTATTTTAACATCCCGAGATGTTTTTGGGTCCCCTTGAAACATTTCCATTGTGATACGAGAATATTTGCAATTGTTTTGACCAATTTGCAGTGCATTTCTTCAGTTGTTTGTAGTGTGACCATTTGCAACACATGTGCTGTTAAATTGATGAAGATTGTTTCTTTATTTGCTGGTGTTTTTTGTAATTACATGTGCTTTCTTAAATTGCAGCGTTAAGCTTTCTCGGCCACCATACAAATGAAATAAACAATGTTTTATAGTTTAGTGTTCTGAGAACTCAAAAAAGTATTTAGGTACAGCAATTAAATAGATGAAATGTTAAATAACACTAAATAGTTTTCACTGTAAAAATAGTTCAATCAAAAGAATTGTTATTAATGTTACAAAATGGTACAATTTCCTATGCCTGAATGCTTTTAAAATGCTCATACAATCACAGGCCTCAAAAAACACATGTAGATGATAAGCTTTCACTCTATTATGGTTAAACTCATATGTTTTGAACTGTGGCTCCTAATCAACTCTAGTTCAGACTCAACATTGCACATCATGAAATTTGACTATTGCGATGCAAATATAGAGACATTTACGCTTAAAATTATAATTAATTAATATTCTTTGGCTGCACTCTGATGCTTAAACAATCCTTTATAGTGTCATCAAATGATTCTTGTTCTAAAATAATTAAATAATGATAGGTATTGTTAGATTGAAATACATTTAATTGGGTGTCTGCAAAATTATGGTAAAATGTATGACATTCATATTGTTTTCTCGGAAAAAGGCACATTCTAATATTTTAAAGAAAAAATAAATCCGTGTAGCACTTATTCTTATGATGATTGAAAATACATATTCATTTGACTCTTGTATAGCCATAATACACGCATACAGTATATGATAAAGTAATAAAGATGCTTGTCACTGACCCATTTCTTTGTTGTTTTGTAACCACATGCCTGTGCATCAAGCCAATACACAAATACAGTATTGCTAAAGTTTCAAGTTGCGAGTAAGATCTTTAGCTCCATCTGTTGGTAGGTGCTTGATTTACCTCATTGTCAGACTCGACGAGAACTTGGTCATATTCACTGAGTGCTACCAGGAACATGATGGAGGTGACGTTTTCAAAACAGTGGATCCACTTTCGCCTTTCTGATCGCTGACCCCCAACATCCACCATCCTGTTGGAGGATCCAGAATTTATTAGGTAAAAAGACGTTTGAGCACTGACCTGAACTGGACAAACTGAGCTGTACCTAACCAAAACATTAAATATATAGAGAAGATTCACCTGAATATGACGCTTTGTAGGTCAAAGGGGTATTCGATGATGCCTGTTGTGGGCACTCTCACCCTGAGCACATCTTGCTGGGTGGGAATGTAGGAAGGGTTGGCAATGCGATCCAATGAATTTAGATAACTGTGGACAAAAAGGCATCATAGGGAAATGTTATGCATTTCTGTGTCAGTATTTTGTTTTATCACACCTCTCTTACAGGTAGAATTACATTTACATAGTTTAAAAGGGCTAATAATTCTGACCATTAAAATGTTTTTTTTTTTATGTATTACTGCTGTTATTCTAGCTGAAATAAAACAAATAAGACACACAGTAAAAATGTCCTTGCTCTGTTAAACATCATTTGGGAAATATTTAAAAAAAAAAAAAAATATATATATATATATATATATATATAGGCAATATCTACTAGATAAATGGAGCTTTTTTTGTCACATTATTATTTTATCTTTCTGTCTTTACATTGTGGTCTTGCATTGTGGTAATTGTTAGCTTATTTATTTTAGTCTTTTAAATAATGCAAATAATAAAAAAAACTTCCATGTATTTAATATATTGTTTTAGTACAGTTATAAAATGTTAATATTTAGTGCAATTTTCTCAATAGAAAATTTGTTATTCATAATGTACAAAAACTTGAGTAAACAAAAACTTCCATTGTTATGGAGATTCTTTTGCAGGTGTAACATTTATTGATGACAATTAATAGACTTTTTAATTTTTTGACTACATTTTTTAATGTAATTTCTTAACTTTAAAGACTGATTGTCTGGATATCATTCCAATGATTTTTGCAACAGTTTATAACCGGAGCATAAAAGGAAAAGATAATAAAAGAAAAAGGAAAAGAAAGATAATAATGTTCTGTTTTAAAACAATTTTAGTCACCAAGCTTATGTAGATGTTGTTGATTTATGAATGGGTTATATGCATGGAAGTGATGTTTAGCCACTGAAATCTTCCGGCAAAAGGTGTGACTATTTAAAAATGTATAAGGACAGCATCGATAATGTAGATTTTTATTTAGTTTAAAAACAAAACAGAAGTAAATAGCGCTATTCCACCTAGATTTTCACATTGGTTCATTTTTGAACAATGACAACCTGTGACGCGGTCCCTATATTGTTCACTATGCTACTTTGAATATTCGATCTGAAATAGCATCTAAGTATGGTTTAGCAACAAGTGTAATTCCTGCACCCTGCTGGCCAAACAGTAAACATAGTAAGTTTAGGACATGCATGAAATATTGCACATTATGCTAAACAACCAAAAACTTGCTAGATATTATACAGTTTTTTGTTCAGAATTGTAGCATTATAAAGTACTATAAAGTTTACTATGACACGAATGACATGATCTTGTAGTGGGTTGTTTACTGTCATATTTATTGTGCACGTTTGTGGTTTCAGGAGGCTTGGCTTTGGATGTCAGGGGAAGGATTGTGTTTCAAAGATATAATGCTAACGGATAGCATTTAGGCAGATCACCTGCTGCATCTTTAAGGTCAAAATCACATTTTAATTTTAGTGTTGATAGTTTTTGCAGGGTATATCCACCCATTAGACACATTAGACCTTTGTTCAGTCAAACCTTTTAAAAAACTTTCCTTTTCTTTTATTGTCATATTATTTTAATACATTTACCGTAAACAGCCAAATTGACAAAGTACACCAATCCCAGTAAAATAAGGCTAAGTGCAATTACTTTTTGCACAGGTTAACCAATCAGGGCCAGGTAAGGGAGCCCTGTCATTAGTTTGCTGTCTAGTGAGAAGTCAGCAAATTATTTTTTGTGTGATAAAAGACCAAAACGTAACTATATTCAGGTGACTACAATCCCAAAGTGGCTTAAATGCAAGTTTTATATCAGCAAAGAGCAGATATGTATAAAGTACTAAAAACCCAGACTTAAGTAAAAGTACAAGTACTCTATCAAAATAGTGACTCGAGTAGAAATTGGAAGTGCTCTTTAAGCACCATACTTAAGTGGAAGTACTAAAGTATTCAACATTTTTTGTACTTAAGTATTGCAAGTAGTTTATTTCAAAATTTACTACTCAAATAATGAAAGTAAAAATACATGTATTGTGTAATGTAGTTATTAAAGATAGCATTCAAAAGACATATTGTTTTTTTATTTCTTTTTTCATTTTAAATATCTTTTTTTGGGGCACGTGATTAAGCAGAACGAAAAGAAACATGGCTTACGACACTGTTTTTCTCTCGCGCTTGAACCACAGATCCTGTAGATTATAACAGCTTTAACACACACCTTTTCGAAGTTGTGTGTTACAAAAACACTCAGTAATGCTATTAAACCCATTTTTGGATCACGATTTTCCAGTTGTAAATGCTGCAAACAGACGTTCTAAACATTATACTGGAAGACGCTTGTCGCAGCCAAGAAAAAGGTCTATAATTTATCCATTTATCATGCCATCCATTCGGTTCAATTTGATATCTCAGTGCATCTCAGAGCATTGACGATGCTTTCCATACATAATTAGATTTTTTTCTTCACAACACAATTTTTTTTATTAAAATCTATAAATATATCTATATTTATATATTATTTGTAATACATTTTGTATTACTCAGCATTAAGATATATGAACTGTACCCTTAATTTGACCTCCTCAAAGAATACACTCTTTCTGAATGTAACAAACCAAACTCCAGTACATGCACAGAAGACAGTATGAGCATTTATAACAAATAAACTAATGTAAATATTATCCCGCTTGCTTTTTGAGCGCTGACAGGCGAGGTCTAACACCCCGATGATTGGTCATTGTCTTCACCTGCTCAACAGAAATGGCTGCGATCGGCTTTAGAAATGAAAGCGCTGTTCACAGATGGCTGGAAAAACAGCCGTGGTTACAGTCTATATGTGCATAATACGCGGTTATCACAGGTAATCCGTAACAGACAAAACTCCCACCACAGGCACGCTCGTGTCAGGATCCAGCGAAGAGGAGAGGAAAAGTTTCAGAATTGATTTACCACAAAGCAGTTGAATTGTGCACAATTATTTACCTTTTAAGTAGTAAGAGCATTATTTACTCGCCCTCGCCTCCGTCGCCATTGTATTCTACTGCAACATCATTTATAGGAGATAAATGACATCAGTACGTAATAACCGGTTATAATCTATTACTGAACCGATATAAATAATTTTGACACCCCTAGTAGCAAGTAACCATGGAGAACATAAAAAATCTATCAGAGTAAAAGTATTAAACACATCGAAAATATGTACTTCAGAAAAAGTGAAAGTAGGAGAAAAAGCAATACTCCAGTAGAGTACAGAATAAAGCCCTTTTAGTGCTTAAGTACAGTAGTAAAGTAGTTCGTTATTATACATCTCTGGCAAAGAGTGGAAAAAGACAAAGCTCTGTGAAATGGATTACTTATGGTACAGTAACTTGAAAATGAAAGAACGTTCAAATGACGTCAGTATATCTTAAACTTTAAAACTATTCAGACTGTTCTGTCATACTGATCAGTTTTGACTGTGCTCTGTGATGTGTTTTTCAGTTAAAACAATATAAAAGGTGAACAGATTATGATTGCTTTTGCTTTTTATCTTACTGGTGTAAAGTGTGTTAACAAATTAAACATTTTCGTTGCTGGTTATGGTGTGCACATGTTTACTCAAAATGTCAACTAATTGTCATTAATTACTTTGCTTAATTCAGGCGACACAGTGGCGCAGTAGGTAGTGCTGTAACCTCACAGCAAGAAGGTCGCTGGTTTGATCCTCGGCTTAATTGGCGTTTCTGTGTGGCGTTTGCATGTTTCCAGAGTCCCATAGTTAAGATGTACTCACTATTTTGTGGAATCTGAGAGCTGGTATTCTCGTCTCCGGTCATAGCACTCCTGAATTCCTGGGTCATTCCATAAACTCTTAATCGCATCTACATAGGGGTTGACGAACAAGAAGACTTTCTCTACATCCACTTCTCTGACAATGTTTGCATTGGCCTGTGAGCAGAAAAACAGAAAACAATGCAGTGCATTTAAAACACTATTACGAATTAATGCTTCAGCCAATGGGTCACAACCAACAACAAGCATTGAATCTCATTGTAGCCTACTTAGACATAACCTGGATACAACTTATTTGACCCATTTAACTCTGAGAATTTCTGAAGTTTAATCTTAATACATCTGACCCAATAAGATGGAACTTGATTGAGGCTGTGTTCCATAATATTTCAATGACACACAATGGAAAATGGGTTTGCCTTTGGGGGTATCTACAAATGGGAAAAAAACTGAGACGGCACATTTCTGCAAGGCAGTAAAATGGTATAATTAATTTCATAAGTTGGGGTGGGGTTAATTGTGTTAAGCCTGGGCTAGATGATTAGTCAAAATAATTGTATCTCTCTCTGGGTATTTGACTTCATGTTTGACCTACTTCTTGCCAAACTTATTTGAATGACAGCTAATATTTGGAGCTTCTGTGCTTTCTTTTGATACGTTTAATAAATTTGGAGTAGTAAAACTGCTTTGATGCAATTTGCTGTAACTCTCATACTGCCACTTAAAGTTGAGTAGGAGCCCAATATGCATAGAATATAGGGTTGCACAATATATCGTTTCAGTATCGATATTACGATGTGCGAATATGCAGTAGTCACATTACAGGATCTGCATTGTTGAGTTGTGATTACAATGACCACATTTCAGATCATGATTTGTGGAGTCATTACAAATTTGAACCCAAAAAGAGAGAAAGTTTTTTATTTGGATGTGTTTTATGGAACTGTAACTAAAATATCTAGCAAATAAAAATCAAGAAATTTTAGATTTAAAGAGTTAAAAAGAGTTCAGATTTAGAGTTTTGACAAAGATTAAATTGTATTTAATTATTTATACAATGAAGACAATACAATGCCATTTGATTAATTTTGAATTTATGTTCTTAGACTCCAAAGAAAACCTTAAAGCACAAAACAATAAAAAAATATATCTTTGTTCAATTGTTTTCATCTATGCTTGCAAAGTACTTAATATGTTTTATGCAGATGCATGGATTCTTTACATGTAAAGTTAATTAGGTCATCTTTTGTGAAATTATATTCATATTGCAATGTATATCAGAGAATAACAAAATATCACGATGTCCACTTTTTCCAATATCATGCAGCTCTAATAGGATGTGCAAAAAGACACACCTCTGTATCATTCACACGACTGTAGCCTATTAAAATAATTTCATGAATGCTCTTTTAAAGTTCCGAGTGGACCTCTGACTACATCAAAGTAAACAAACAAATCCACAGAAACTTGACAAGAGTGAGAGTACATAGAGCAAATTACTGCACCTTATTGTGTTCATATTTATAGAGAATCTGGAGAGTGTCCATTGCTCGTATCATGGACTGTGAAGACGTGAAGATGTTTTGGTAGACCAGCTTGGTAAAGCCTTTTCTGTCTTCTTCTGAATAGCCTGAGCCATGGATGATTCTCATCTGTTTAATAAAGGTGCTTTTCCCACTCTCCCCAGTTCCTAAAAGCAAACACACAGAAAGTAAAGTTTTAGCAATAGGAAATTCAATATTTAAAAAAAGCTACATTGAGCAGATTTCTAGCTTGTTGCCTGACTGCCAAAAATATTCTCAAAACCAGACACTTTAAAACTGTAGCTGCTTACTTTTTTCCTGCTCAAAAATCGACTTTACACCTACTAAGGCCAGCGACTAATGACCAATTTACAGCACTGGAAACATTATTTTTTTCTGAATTTATTATCTGTATTTGCCATAAACGTATGTATTTTAATTAAAATGAGAGACACCAGGTGCCCCAGTTTCCCCCACAGTCCAAACACATGCACTATAGGTGAACTGAATAAGCTTAATTTATTGTAGTGTATGTGTGTGTGTGTGTGTGTGTGAATGAGTTTGTATAGATGTTTCCCAGTACTGGTTTGCAGCTGAAAAAGCATCTGCTGTGTAAAACAAATGCTGGATAAGTTAGCAGTTTATTCCACTGTGGCAACTCTTGATGAATAAAGTGATTAAGCAGAAGGTAAATGAATGAATGAATGAATGAATGAATGAAGTAAAATGCATTTATTAATCAAAGTTCAACATTTAATATTGCATTATTAACATCCAAATGATTGCTGATTAACATTGGTTAATCCACCTTGAGTTAACTTGAACTAACATGAATAAAAACTGTATCAAATGTATTATTCATTGTTTGTTCTTGTTAGTAAATGCATTAACTAGCTTTAAACTTATTCTAAAGGGTTACTGATATTTCTGTTTCCAAACCATCAACATTTGGCAATCCAAACAATTTTTAAGTTGTCTCTTATTATTATTATTCAGCTGTATATTGATCAAAAATGTTTTGAAACACGGATAGCTACTGTTAAACTGAATTTGTAGCAGTTAAGTCAAAATATGAATTCATTACGTTAAATATAAAAGTTCTAAGATCCTTAAGATAATAATTCGCCTCGTTTTTAGTATAGAATAACGTTACTCCATAGCCTCTTACCCATAAGATATTTACCCCCCCAAAAATCTTATCAAAACATAATAATAAAAAATAAATTATTTATTAATCGATTCGTTTGGATAAAAGAATCGGTTTAAGTGAACATTCCTGAATTTGGTATCACACCTACAGCCACGCTACTACGAGACATCCACAACCAACCGTGTCTGCAACAGTTGTTCCACCTGTCGAACATATAACGTTACTGTATGAATCAAAATAAAGACAACTTGCTGATCTAACGTTATAACGTTACTTGTTTGCAGTGAACAACAGTGCAGACTCAATCGGTGGCCTCAGACAACGTACGTAATGTATTTTAATGAATAAACGATATATTATGTTTAGATGCCTGCGTAAATTCGTAAATTCTATTTGCATGTCTTAAGACGCGAAGAAAAGTTTAGTCAGAGTCACGCGAAATCCCCTCGTACCCAGCAGCAACAGCTTGAGCTCGCGTCGGGCGTCTTTCTTGTCTCTCCGGAGCTGTCGGTCGATCTCATCGTTGATCCGCCGCGCTTCTTTCGCCTCCTCGCTGAGACAGCACGCCATGATGGAGTCCAGCGTCATGATTCTCCCTGTCACTTCACAATTAAGATGTTTTCAGAAATGCCATTGAAAGCACATCAGTCCCAACTCAATCCAAATCGACCAGATTGCCAGAGAGAGAGAAGGAGTTCATCTGCTGCGCTCTGAAAAGCAATTCATAAAGCCTCATTGAGATACACTAACGTTAATGTTTCTGCAAGTCTTGGAACACGACAATGATATAATACACCATTCAGGTGTAACTGTTAGCGGTTAACAGTTACTTAAATCCTTATGCGGCTGGTATGTGTTTTATATCACTCATAAAAGCAACAGATCGTTTGGACTTCATAGCTCCATTGCAGACCGGTTGATTAAAATAAATACTTGAGAATCGCCCTTAAAACAGTTTTATTTCTTTAGACAGCGTTAAACTCTGCAGTCCATGAACTTGCGGCTGGGTAGCCTATATTTGCATGAACGGTGTTCCTCCCGTGTTAACGGATCCGCTCCGGGCGTGGTATCGCTGAATATGGCTGACAATTCCTTGGAATTCCGGTTACAAACGTAGCGAAGCCTGCAACCGTATCATACAGCGAATCGGAGTCCACGCGTCTAAAGCGAATGTGTAAATTACTCCACCAAGGTCTGTACTCCGGTTATTTTAAATCCCAGCTTGATATATGGCTCGGTATGGTCTCAGCTCTTCTATTTGTAACAGGGATGTTCGAATCGCGAATGAATCACTCATGTAAACTGGCTCTTTTTAATCCTTCGGACGAATCGTCTATCCAGAGTTTGTGATTCTGTAATTTTGAATGTAAGACGGGAAAATGTGATTCCAAACAATTTAAGGTAATATTGAACAATACAAATAGCAACATTTAAATGCTATATTTGCTAGCCGAAGAAAGGGAGCTTTTTCAGATGTTTGTAATTGACTCAGTGAAATTGATTCTTCGAACCAACCGACACGCTAAAATGATTCCAATTTCCCTAGTAATGTTAGACTCATTACACTGGCATCAGCATCATTTAGACCTTGTGACGCGCAGACTTGAAGAGCAGCACACTCATTTTTATGTCCATCCATCCATCCATCCATCCATCCATCCTGCCCTGCCCTGCCCTGCCCTGCCTGCCATCCATCCATCCATCCATCCATCCATCTATCTACTGCGCAGATTAGCACATTAACATTACCTGTACGACGAATGAAATTTAGGATTTTAACTTTATTTGACTGGAGAGTTTCATAATCGACCTGTTTGATCAACATCAATGTTCTGATGACCCTGCCAGAGTCTATTTTGTGGAAACTACAGCAAACTACAGGGGTTTTTCTGTTGTCTCTTTTAATGAAATCTTTCAAAAGCTATATATATATATATATATATATATATATATATATATATATATATATATATATATATATATATATAGTGGAAGTCAGAATTATTAGCCCCCTTTTGATTTTTTTCTTTCTTTTTTAAATTCCCAAATGATGTTTGACCGAGCAAGGACATTTTCACAGTATGTCTGATAATATTTTTTCTTCAAATACAAAAAAATCTTATTTGTTTTATTTTGGCTAGATTAAAAGCTGTTTTGAATTTTTTAAAAACTATTTTTGGGACATAATTATTAGCCCCTTTAAGCTATTTTTTTTTTCAATAGTCAACAGAACAAACCATCGTTATAGAATAACTTGCCTAATTACCCTAACCTGCCTAGTTCACCTTATTAACCTAGTTAAGCCTTTAAATGTCACTTTAAGCTGTATAGAAGTGTCTTGAGAAATATCAAGTAAAACAATCTTTACTGTCATCATGGCAAAGATAAAATAAAACTATTATGCTTAGAAATTTGCTGAATCAATCTTCCCTCCATTAAACAGAAATTGGGAAAAAAATAAATAAACAGGGGCGCTAATAATTCAGGGGGGCTAATAATTCACACACACGCACACACACACATACATTTGGTACTGTTCATGCATTGAAAATATAACTTTTTCCCCCAATTTCTGTTTAACATAGATAAGATTGTTTCAACACATTTATAAACATAATTTGAATAACTCTTTTTTTTTTCTCTTTGCCATGACAGTAAATATTTTACTAGATATTTTTACAAAACACTTCTATACAGCTTAAAGTGACATTTAAAGGCTTAACTAGGTTAATTATTGGCAGGTTATAGGGTAATTAGGCGAGTTATTGTATAATGATGGTTTGTTCTATCGAAAAACAAATTAGCTTAAAGGGGCTAATAATTTTGTCCCAAAAATAGTTTTAAAACTATTTTTTTCTGCTTTTATTCTAGCCAAAATAAAACAAATAAGACTTTTCCCAGAAGAAATTTTTTTTTTTAGACATACTGTGAAAATGTCCTTGCTCTGAAAGGGGAAAAATTGAATATATATATTGAATATATATATATATATATATATATATATATATATATATATATATATATATATATATATATATATATATATAATTTAAAGGAGGAATTTAAATTTTTATATATATAATTATTCCTTTTTATTATATATAATATTATTATTTATTATATATAATATTATTTATTATTATTATAATTATATTATAATTATTATAATATTATTTATTATTTATTATAATAATATTATATATAATATTATTTATTATATATAAATAATTTATTATATATAAATTATTATATATAATAATTTCCTTTATATAATTTAAAGGAGGAAAACATGGTACTTTATAAGAATCCGACTTTATTTGTATATTTAGTGTTTTCAATAGTTAATATTTCAATATAGTATATTTATTTTTTAAATAAGTGTTTAATGCCTATAGTCATTACTTTTGATTATTTTAACAAGCCAAATTAAAAATATTAATAAAAACAACTTTCTATCTTCTATCAGGGTTCCATATGATTTATTCATGTTTTACGAATACAAATCAAACTTTGTTTTACAAAGTGAATTGAAAAAAACAAAAACAAAAAAAACAAAAACTCAAAAATTGTGTTAATTCAGCTCATTTTAAATAAGTAATTTAAACAAGCAGCAAATGTTTTTTTTTTCTTTCTTTTTAAGGTTTGAGCATATATGCATGTCCTGGGAGATATAACACCTGTACATTCTCTAAAAAATAATTATAAAACAGATTAGCTGTTGTTACAGGGTACAGAAATCAGAGTAATATTCAATACCTTTTAGGACCTTTTTTAAGAATCTTTCCATACATTCTTAAGACTTTATCACCACGTTAAGTCTGAACTGGTAACATTGGCAACATTTTAAATATATTCACTAAATACTGGTTGTAAGAAACTAATCCTAAACTTAATTATTACACAATTCATATACTTTATAAAAATGTTAATCCAGAAGGTTTCGTCTATAGAACAGCAGAAATAATGGTGCTGCTTTGGTTATTGCAGTAAACAAAGCAGTGAATGAATTCAATGATTCTGTCGATTCCGTAAACTATACAGCATCCCACAATTTTAAACTTTACACTTTTAAAGCATACAACTATAATTATACAACTTTATGATAAAAAATTATGCAAAATTGAATACCTTGTAACAGTAGTATGCAAGACATTTTAAGTACCTTAAATTTATCTAAATTATCAACTTTTAATACTTTAAGACCTTAGATCAATATAGAGTTAAAAAGTACTGAGCTTATCATTGTTATTGACATAAATTATTGCAATTCAATATATTATAATTTATCAAGTATAGCACAATTGTTCTAACCCTCAAGACATACTTTAACTATGTATTCAGAATATTAATTCATTACAAAATGGACTACAACCAAAACAGAGACACCAAACAAAAATCACAAACACTAGAAAAAGTTTAGTAAAAGGTGGCACAGACTTTATTTTTATTTAACTTTTTAGATTTGCAGCACATTCTACAAAGACACCAGAGGGAACAGAAAGAAAAAGATACAGGAAAACATGGAAGAGACCTGCCACAAGTTTTTTTAAATTTACAGAGAAATTATTTCCCCTCAACTGTGAAGAGAAGGCATCTAGAAAGATCCATCTAAAAATGGTAAAAATGCTTACAAACAGACGTACAAAAGAAGCGCCAGCAAGATTTAATAGATCCCAATGTCAATGGAGTACAAACGGTTCATTCATCTCCTGAAATTTTACTGATCTCGAAATCGGGTTGACAAAAATCAGCACAAAAAGGAAAGAAAAAAAAAAGTCCCTCAGGAATGAATTTTTGCTCATTCTCGATAGCCCCATTTTTCAAATCAAAATAGATGTTCTTCCTTTAAATAAAAAAAATAAAAAATAAAAAAAAACAGTATTTACACTTCACCCAAACGTCTAATCATGAAGTCAAGATGATAATGGGGCAATTCAAATTCATTGGCCAAATAAAAAAAAAAAAAAAGACATTCTGCATGTTGCAGACTTAGCATGCAGCTCTGGTAAGGCCAACAGTGGACATCACAGATGGGCTCCCTCTATATACCAAACAGTACAATCAATAAATGGAAAACATTTGCGTGCAGAAAGATAATGTTAAAGGAAAAAAAGAGGATCCACTTGCTTTTAACAGAAAAAAAAAACTTTTCTTTCAAATGTGTTGCTTCAAAAAAAAAATTGTTAGGAGAAAATGGCAGGGAGCACATCTACCCAAGAAGCAGAGGAATGTAGGCTCTGAAAACAAGTTGAAGTGAATGGGTATGGCAGTTTGGCTTCAGTCTCCATCCTCTAGAAGAAGCGTCCAGAGTACTGCTTCACGCTGAAAGAGGAAATGACACGCTTAAGACTAAAGATGAAACCTCACAGTTCTGGAAAAAGCTCAGCCAGCAGCCAAGTGATTTATAATCAGAATATTGCAGTCACTATAAACAATATAAAAGCAACTGTATATGTACTACTATAATAAAAGTAAATACAGTATTCACAGCATAGCATTTGTACACTGCATCTGGTTTATAATACAGATAAATCAAGTTCATTTACTTAGAGATAATTTGAAACGTTTACAGTCAACATAATAAAAATATTAAACCATTTTGTTGTCCTTATTTATGAGTAAAACAGAATGTTGGCTTCTTTAGCTCAAATTCTGTAGAAATAAACCAACATTTTTACTCTGGTTTTGATATATTAGCAGGTATGCTTAAACTTGAATGTTACCATGTAGCTCATTTAAAACGAATTCATGCAAGTCAAACGAACCCAACACAGGCTTTATCATGTACTGTCTCTTAAAGTCACTTTCAAAAGATATAGATCTCTAGCACAATTCAGGTTTTAAAACATTTAACTGTAAAAGCAGGACTACATGCAGGCTGTGTTACGAGTTCTCTTATTCACTGCATTTACCAATAGGAAAATGCTGCATTACTAACAACTGTTGCATAAAACAATGACCAAATAGTTATTTATTTGACAAAGGCTTAACGAGGGCTGTGCGCTAAAATCGGTCTCAATATTTATTGACCAAACACCATTGTCAATATCGATAAACAAACTAAATTTCAATATGTAGTTTCAGTATGAATCGCTATAGAATAATTAAAATGTGGCTTATAAGTGTGCGCCTTGGAAGCAATGCCAAGAAGCTTAAGGTGTCAGTTTGCCATTTCCAATGGAGACATTGGAAACACTGAACTTTTCTGAATGCTGCTAGCGCACCGTGATTTAATCAAGTAGAATTAACCAATATGCTTCACACTTTGTATGGAATATACACATTTCAGTAATAGCGGTAAACTAATTACCCGAGACAAACAAAGAGCAACCAAACACTGCAGTGATTTTTACCTTTCTCTTTAAACTTGTATGGAAACAGCAGGGGGAAATGTAGTTATTCAACTTCATAATTTGTAATGTTGCAGTATGTATTTGAATAATGAAGGTTAGTTCGTTTACTTGCAAGCTCAGATTTGTTTATCATAATTTGTGTTGTTTACAGAGTTTGAGGTTTAATGTATCATTATTCACACCTTAAAGCTGATTGTTCAGTATTACTTTGTAACATTTTATTTATCAAGTTTAAGATTCTCTTTAACACGTATGTTTACTTTATTTTTAAAGAGATCAGATATTTTGTTTAAATATTTGTTTTTGACTTAAAACTTTTTGCCTTGGTAATGTTGGTAAATAAAAAAAAAAAGTGTCTTAAAAAAGGTGAGGTTGGTTTTAGGGCTGGGGTGGGTGTAGACATTCATAAAGAACAATTTGACACTTTGGCTGTTTCTCAATTTCAAGAACTCGGAGAACAGACTTGTGTTCTTGTGAAGACCGGTCTTGCCAGGTCACCTCAGAAGAACGAACTCAGGAGACCACGAGAACAGAGAACGCGTCCTGCGAGAATTAAGATACTGCGTTCTTCCTGATGGTCTCGTGACAGTCACGCATTTTAAACCAAAAATTATTTAAACATTACAGCATTCATACGATTTTCTGTTTTTCCCCTTTGCAAAACATATACCATGCATAAAATATTATAAATATACATTGCATAATATAAATAAAATAAATTTTAATACAAATTTCAGCAAATAAACACCCTTAATTTGTTTATTCCTTTATTAAGATTTTAATGGTAATGTTTATATTCACCGTTTCATTTAGGGAACTCCAGAGATAAATAAGTTACATCTCTGAACTTCCCACCTTGCAATGACTTCTTGGACTTCTAGAGAGAGTTCAGTGCTCAAGTCTGCATAAATGCGTCCTTAATATAAAGAATATAAGGGAGGTTTGTCAGTTGATGATGACATTCCACGAGAACACAAGGACGCAAGATCGCTGAAGAACGCATATTGAGAAACAGCCTTTGCGACATGTACAAGACAATAAATAAATAGAAACTCCAGGTTTGTACAGCCCACTTGGAGCTCAAGTCCCACCCACTTGAAGCTAGCTCCAACTTAAGTTTATCCCCTTCACACTGTGCTTGTCTAAAAGAATGCACTGAGGATGGTTTGAGGGTGGGTAAATGATTGGGTAATTCATTTTTGGAAGAATTTTTCCTTTAACAAAGAGCAAGAATTTTGACTTCTAAAATCTAGGCTCATGTGGTGTTGTCTATTTACTTCATTTCAATCAAACAATTAAAGCAGAAACACATTTACTCACTGTTCTGAACAATAACTTATGTGGTTTGGATTAAAAACAATGCAAGTTTTGATTACATTTTTGTAGTACAGATGTGAAAACGCTTGTTACATGACATTAATTTGTACAAATGCACGCAATTATTTTACTGTTACTACTGATTGTCAATAACAAACAATCTTTTGAATTTTTTGCAACAATTCAAAGAAACAACCTTTGTTTTCATCAATAATAACTACATTACTGCATAAAATTAAATGGGACTTAAAGGCTAATGGCTGCACGATCCAATAAAGAAAGTACATAGGATCAAATGTCATTTCATGCTGACTTCATTGGCCATTTTTATATACCTGTTCAACAAGAGTGAACCATAAGAATGCTTTATTCGCAAGATGATATTAATACAGCATGATTTTGCATTAAAAAGCAGTCTCGTTAGCACAAAACAGAAAAAAAGGCTCGCTTATGTCCTGTTTGTCCATGCGGTTTATCAAAAAGGTGATAGCAAAAAAAAAACACTCAAACTACTTGAGATCAAACAGAGCATAAACCAGCACAGATGTGGTCAGATGTTAGTCAAGAGCAGGTGTTAAACTGGCAGGTGTCTTCAGTTAGGGTGGGTGAAATGTGTTTGAGGGTGGGGGCAGATGATGCTGGGCCTGTGCTGTAGGGCAGACCGTGATTTGTTGTCACTTCATCTAACTAACAACAACAAAATCACAAGTCTTCCACACAGAAGCAAGCCAGCGTTCACTCCTCTCTCCCTCTCACTCTCCAGGGTCCCCCCGCTCATTTGGCCCTTGGTAAATTAGATTTGAATCTAAACCAAATGTTTAACTGATAAAACAATCCCCTTTGTACACATTTCACAAAACCAAAATTATATGGAAATCCCAAAGTAAGAAGCTGTTAGATAAGGCAAAGAGAAATGCATGAGAGGGCAGTCAAATGTACACGAAGCATGAAGTAAATATAGAGAACTATTTAACAAAATATAGTTTAGTTCCACAAATTAAAAAGCAACAAGAGGCAGAAGACTTTGCAGAAAATTGTTTTGATTGTTAAGCGTAGACATGTACAAACCAGGTATGACAAGATACATTAGATAATAATGAAAATCTGTTGTTTTATTTTTGGTCTTAACATTAAAAGATTAGATCAACCAAAAATAAACTCTGTTATAAATTACTTATCCACATGTTTTTTCAATCCGGAGACCCTTGTTCATCCTTAGAACAAAAATGTTAATAATTTGGATGAAATCTGAGAGCTCTCTCAGTCTCCATAGACTGAAACAGTTTAGAGATGTTCTAAGTTCAGAAACGAACTAAAAACATCATCAAAACATTCCATGTGACTTCAGTGGTTCAACTGTAATCATACAAAGCTCCAATAACACTTGTGTGTGCAAAAAAAAAAAAAAAGAACTAACTGTACAAACAACTTTGTTTGCCAACATATCCTTTCCATCAGGTCATCTTTGTGCGCATACTATTGGCAATAAGAAAATGCCCATAGAAAAGTACACCCTGGTGAGAATGAGGAAGAGAAGACATGGGCGAACCAAGCTATTTTTTACAGGTTTTTGGTACCCAAGAGTGTCTTTTCGACTTCATATGATTACAGTTGAACCACTGAAGTGACAAGAACTGTTTTGACAATGTATTTGGATGATGAGGAAGCTGTCAGATTTCACCTAAAATATCTCAAGTTGTGTTAAGATGAACGAAGGTCTCAGGGAATTGGCGAGTAATACAAATTTTAGGGTGAACCAACCCTTTAAGAACTCCCACTGACACTGCATTAGTAATTTGATGCAAATATAATACAAAGTATAGCTTTATAAAATGTAAACATGTTAAATGTATCAAATTTAAATAGCTTATGACCATTGAAAGGGTCTTGTGAAAAATGTCTACACCAGTATGTATAATCAAGAAGTCTAACTGGCTGTTTATGTGCAGCCAAAGCTAAGTAGAAGCCTTGCACATTTACTTTCAAACAGGCCACACCTTCTGTTTATGGTACAAATAAGGCAGATATGGAAAATAAAAAAAATCGTAATGCAATCAAGTGGAATTGCAATGTAATCTTGTTGGTACAAAATCCCATTTGGAAAAACTTTATTCACAGGAGATTTAGTTTTAGTGAGCGCAAAAAATATGCATGCAGCTTGTCACACCCGGTCAGTCAGATCACGAGATTGTTAGGTGTCAAGGATGGAGTGGAGTTAAAGTGCTAGAATAGGTGATAGACTTGCCTGTTCTGTAGTAGATACTGGGCGTTCTGAATCTGGTCCTGTGTACCTGTGATGGTAATGATCCTGTCCTCTGAGCCCTCCAGAGGCTCATCGATTTTAATAGATGCTCCTGACTCATGACGAATCTGCTTGATCCTCTGTCCGCCTTTCCCAATGATGGAGCCAGCCAGCTAAAACAATAGTCAAGTAAAGCTTTATCAGAACAATCCCTGGATGGTAGTTGGTAGACAGATATATACAAGTAGTTCAATGTATTTGTGTTAAGAAGGGGTGTCAAAATTAAGCTGAGACATGTTTGTTAATCAGAAAAAAAAAAGGCAAGCACAAAAATGATTTAAGTCCTTAACCAAAAACAAAAACTAAGAAATCAAAAAGAAATTAACTTCTCAAAATGTCAAAAAACATAATAAATCAAAAGCAGACTTTAAAAACATTAAAATGACACCCAATTATATAAAAAAAATAAATTAAATTAAATAAAAAAAATTCACATCATATCTCTCTAACTTACATCTTTAGGGATGGTCACTTGTGTTGTAATGACAGGCCCACCGATGTCGCTGTAAGAACCTCTACCACCTGATGAAACAAACATCTCGATTTGACACTCAGCCCTCAATTATAATACATAAACCATATTCTATTATCACAATATCTGACACACTCACCAGACTGGAAGGGCTCCCAAGAAGAATTATTGTCTTCAGGTGAATCAAGAAAAGAAAAGAAGATGGAAAAAAGTGATCAAGATATCAGAGCTACGACAGTGAAGGATATAGAGAAAAAAGCAGGAAACGCTACGCTATTGAGAGGAGTGCAGTGCTTTGTTTTACTGGAGGTAACTTTGAGTGTGTGTGTGTGTGTGTGTGTGTGTGTGAGAGAGAGAGAGAGCACAGTTGAAGAACACTCACCATATCCACCTCCACTCTGTGTACAACGATGGGGAGGAAAAACAAAACAAAAAGCACGTCAATATTGACATTCTGCATTCATCTCATTATTCTTTTTTAAATCTTCAAATCTGACATGTATTGCCTCATTTCCACGGAGCGGTACTTCCACTGTTAAAAGTACCACTGTCAGTAGTGAACTATACTTTTTTTGGGAATCCCTTTGTAAGGGTACCTAATGGAACGTTTCCACTGAGTGGTATGATACGATTTGGTACGCTTTTATGGCCGCTTCCACTGTCAAATAGAGTTCTGAACCGAACCACTGTTTCGAAATGGTACCAAACACGAGAAAGAGTCCCAAAAGGTGGATCTACATGCGCAGCTGAACGCTGACTGGTTACAGACATATGTCACGATTTAGTGGAGCTAAGCCAGAATTAAAACAAATGAACCGCCATGTTTTTTTAAATACACAGCAAAGAAAAAAAAATGTCTCCGTCATCTGATCCATTCAGAAAGAAAAGGACATACGCGAAAGTGAGGGGCGAAAAAAAAGAAGCAAGACAAAACACAGGAGCAAATTGTTTCAGCAACCAGAATCATGAACAAACTGCCATGTTTATTGTCGCCTTTTGGACTATTATGAACTCGGAATGACAAAATGACTCTCTAACAGAGGCTACATGTGCTGCTGAAGATTACAGACACAGATGAGAGGTTTGCTCTGACTGTGGGCAAAGTTGCGTTTTGTTTTCGAACTCAAATAAGGACTAAATGTAACATTATGCTGTGTGTCGTTACCCGTAATTGGTACCATATCGGAGACTATAAGGGTCTGTGTGTGTGTATAAATGCTGCATTTACTTATTTTATATAATTGCAGACGTTACCGTAGGCGATATCACACGGTCATTAATCTGCAGTTCAGATAATCAAATCCTGTTCATAGAAATGTCAGTAATAAACATTTATAAATAAGTATTTATACGTTTAAAGCATCTGTTTTGTAAGAAGTGCTTCTCATATGATATGTGGATAAGCTGTACAGCTTTACTGTAGACATATATTCAAGCGAGAATGACGTCGACTTAAACTTTGTCGTACACCACGCCCACCAAAAGTACCTATAGTAGTGGAAACGCAAGCCTGATAAAGGTGACCGGTATCAATCCGAACCTTACTGTACCAGTCAGTGGAAACGAGCCATAACACAATAGTAGGATACCAAAAGGGTGGATCCTGACTCGCTGATGAATGCTATTGCGGTTATGCAAAAACCCAGGGGAACAACACAGAAGAGTTTAAATAACTAGCTTAAACATTAATACAATGATAGCGCATAGCAATAAAATATGCACAAATGAATCTTGCCGCTTCTTGTGGCAAACAACTAATATGCCAAGATCTGTGGTGTTCTCCACTGTTGCTAAAGGGGCCGTTCACGTAACATCTAAACATAAGCATAAGAACACCACTTCCTCTTGAATTAATAAACTTGAGTGTGCAAAAGATGCAATATGTGAATGGCCTGTACTGCATTCTTCTTTGAGCGAGATCATTATCCATCTCAACTTTCTGATGTATACTACGCCTACCAAGGGTACGCAAACCTGATCAGGGTGACCTTTAATGTACTGTTAAAAAAAAAAAAAGAAAAGAAAAGCTACTTGAGGTCATAAAATGGAGTGACTTTACTGCAGCTAAATAAGTTTTAGGTCACCATTGCACCACACACCTTAACCACTGTCAAATCAAATCAAATCATTGGTTCAAGGGGCTTTTAAACAAATGATCCTAAATGATTTTTTGAATGGTGAGATTATCAGTAAGAAAATAATAATAATAGTTTGCAGAATTTTTTTTATATCCTAAAAATATTTCCTTTTAATTTTAGGAAAAAACATGATCTTATGCTTTTTACATAATATTAGCATAGTGATTTACAAAGCGTTCAGATTTTAGAGTTTAAACAAATATGATATTTTGTAAAGAAATGTATTTGGCATATGCCGACTTTCAATATGGCTACCAACATGGCTTGTCCTCCAGAAAGCTCAACTCGGTGAGAGCAGCATATCCCAAAGATCATTGGTGAGTGTGATGGCTTTCACCTACGTATTTAACTACTCATTGGTAACCAAGGCAACAAGTGATTCAAAAATCTGTTGCCAAGCAACAGCAGGCCAAACCAGTGCACTAGGCATAAGAGCTCCACATATGCATCTATTACACTGTCACTTCAGAAACAGAACAAGCCATTCCACGTTTTTCAGAAAGAGCCAATTAATGAAAGGAAAAAAAAAATCTCTTTACATCAAGTCAAGTGATGCATCTCAATATATGCTGCAAAATACAAATTCCTATGCAGATGTTAGTTTACGCTCACCATGCTTTCATAGCGATCTCCAGGCCGCCCCCTTCGGTCACTGTTTACAGGAGGAAAACAAAAATACAAGAGTAAGGCTTAATTTTACATGCTTATATGGGGCATGCTTTTAAATGCTCTCTCTCAAAATATTCAATTAAATTTTTAATTCATCTTTATTTCTATAGTTCTTTTACAATGTAGATTGTGTCAAAACATCCTAACATAGAAGATTATAGTAAACTGAAACTAGTCTAGTTTTCGGAGTTGGAGTTGAAGTTAAGTTTAGTTCAGTATGGTATATAAAAAAATAATAAATCATCAAAAAATAAAAGCCCAACATTTGACACATTATACTTAAAGCTATGACAATACACATGCCATAGCAATTTGAATTAACCACACATTAACTTTGCTCAGTTCCCTTTTGCTTTTTGTGTGAACAGATCTTAGGGAAGTTAAATAATTGATTTTGTGGTAACTTACTTTGGTCTGTCGTCCATATTGCTGTGGTAACTCTGGTGGGAAAACCGATCACCTCTGTAAATAAAAAGTGGCACAATCAGCAATTCCTTTTCCATTTCATTATGCTACATATACTATATAGTCCCACACAGCAGTGGTTAGATGACAAAAACCTGGCGCGTCTTAAGAGAAATAAATCTGAATAATGACCATTCATCTGAATTTATGTAGTAACCATATAAATTGTAAAAGAAAAACACAGACCCAAGGTGTTACTTTGCCACCTTTGCATTATATACATAACACTCCTCAAGCTTTATACCTAATGTAATGCAAATTTAATTACCTCTAACAGTCCACAAAACTTTAAAAACGCCACTGATTACCTTGTTTCAGCATTCCGAAAAAATTAATGTAAATCATTTAAAACTGCTATTGAAATTGTAATAAAAACTTTGAGTGAAAAACATTGCAGTGAAGAAAATCCCTACTTGAATTTCAAACATCATGAAGTAAAACAACAATTGTATTGTTATTTTATCTATTATTTGTATTCCCTTTTTACAAAAACTGAATCCTAAAGGTTTGCAGGAATACACAGCAAGCTACATCCTCTTACCCTCTAGGCGGCGGTGGTGGGGGCAGAGGCAAATTTCGGGCCCTACTGCCACCACGTCCTCCTCTCCCGGGTGGTGGTGGAGGTGGTCCACGGCGTGGGCTCATATCATCATAATCACGTCTGGAAGGGGGGACCGACCGACTGCCACGACCAGGAGGCATTCGATCAAATCCTCCTCTGCCTCTCATTGGGAACCCACCCATAGGTCGCCGTCCTCTCTCCTCATACATCATGGTGAATCCACCATAGTCATAGGTCTCATCATAAAAGTTTGGATCATAAGGCTGGGCTCGACCCTTAATGGGAGCCTAAAAATAAAGATAATTTTTATTTACAAAGTCTAAAGATACTGCAGGCGTTGTTACGGTCTACACAGAGTAAAAAAAGTCACATTCTCACCTCTGCAATCAGCTCCAGAATGACCTTGATGCACTCAACCACACGTTCAGGTTTACCCCCAACTAACACCACTCGGTCAGTAGAGTGGGGGCAACATTCCTGGAAAAGCTTGATTGTAGTCTGGGTATTCTTAAAAATAAATTTAAAAAATTCACTAAGTATGTACATTTTATTAGGAGGTTTATTTAAATATAGGTTTCTAACTATTAGTTTGACATGTATGCTTAATACAAACCTCTCTCAGTTCTTTGATTTTGGCACCTTTGACCCCAATAATGCCTCCAGCCAGACTCTGATGAATCAGCAGACGCAGCTCACAGTCAAAATCAGTTCCGCTGTAGTGCTGATACTTAGAGAAACAAATAATTAACAGTGAATGTTTAAGGACAAGTGCAAAGAGATTAAATGCATATACACGCACACACACACGCACACACACACACGCGCACGCACGCGCACACACACGCACGCGCATACATAAACAAATAAACAGACATTCAACAAAAAAGATAAAAAAAAATCTTACATTTAAAGATCACTCCATAGTCTCATTTAAAATTTTTGTAATGGGAGAAAAATTTAAGCATGTTTCATGAATTAAATATAGATTGGATTACAGAATTAAAAATATAAATAAATAAAGAGAGAGAACATTTCCAGACACTTCATGATTATTGGTGTTAATCTAGCACCCAGTGGCCATTCCCCCTTTATCAAACCCTATTTCACAGTTTTAACCGAGCTGGCAAGACAGTGGGCCTTTCTAAAACGACAAAGCCTCTGATAGCAGGCTATCCAGATGAAGATAAAGGACCATTTTAGTCATAGCAAGAAAGGTTGGTCTTTTGATGCTCAAACAAAAAAATACTGCTTTTGGCATAATGACTTCAATACAGTAGCTCTTATTAAGAATGAACAATAGCTGATTTAGGCAAATAAATTTGATGCAAAGAACGAAAAACAAACTAGTATGGTTATAAAAAAATACAACACATTTTACGAGTAGTGCTTTTATTCAACATTACATAACATTGGGAAATATTTTCTGCAGCAGGATTTAACTGCTGTGACAATATGAGATAGAAATACATTAAAATGAAAATTCAATGAAAATTGTAATTTTGTAGTGTTTTAAAGTCAATCAATTTAAATTCTGAGAATTAAAAAAAAAAACACCAGCCAATGACATAACCATTATACAAATTAAACGAAACAGAATTTAGTGCATTTTGATTGTTAAAAAAAATCTGTCATCATTATGCTCTATAAATAATAGTACAGAGCCATTATTAAGAGATTTAGGTCATTTTAATTGCTTAAAACAAGCTAGGCTTATTTTCTATGCTAATGCTATTGCTGAACAGATTAACTAAATTTATTTTCGTCATTTACAGTCTTAAATGACTATCAACAGAACAAAGTCATCTGTCTTAAATACTGCAGTTTTTTTGTATCCTTTATGATGGAATATTTTACAGAACAATACTTGCTTAGATTTTTTTCGTGTGTTCCTTTTAAGAAGTTTGCATTAGGATATTATTACAAAGTCATATATTTTGTGTGTGTTGCTTGTATTGCATCATTCACTTTTTAAAACAAAGCAGTGATTTTTGTTGTTCTTACTTGATTGCTTCAGTTTCAAATTGCAAATACCCAGTCTTTCAATATATTGTTTTAATTAACCTGAAACATTTCTAAATTAGGCAAAATTTCATCTAATCATCTTTATTAGCAAAAAAAACAGAAAATATATTTTTTTTTTCTTCTTCTCAATATCGCACATCACTAGTGGAGCATCACATCATGCAATATAGCCTTTTTCTTTGTTTCATATTTTCTGTTTAATTTTTCTTTTTCCTTTGAAAACGCCATTTTGTTTTAATCCTTCCTTAAGTTGAAATCGTTTACAAAAGTATCATTCACAAATGTATGATTTAATTTTGATCATTTGATTTAGACAAAGTTTTTTTTTTAAGTAGTTTGATACAGCTACAACTACAAAAGTTCTAATAAAGACTACATTATTTCTGGGGGGAAAAAAAAGTCTACTTTATATTATATTTTATAGTAATGCTTAAATGACAGTAGACTTGTGCATAAATGACTTTAAAGGTAGCAGGTATGGATAAAACCTCATGCACCTGATTCAAGCGAAACTTTAAGTGATTTGATTTGCTTACCTCCTCCAGAGTCGGGATGATCTTCAGCAGAATTTCACCAATGGTGTCTATATCTGCACTCACACTCAGGATACTGCAGCACAACAAGCAAAATAAAAGACAAAAGCAAAACACACGGAAACAAACCTTTAGATTACAAACACTGCTGTAAACCACAAAGCAATAAAGAAATTGGAAATTCTAAGCTAAAAGAAAGTAACTTAAAAAGACTGCTGAACACATGTTTTAAGTCTTCCAACACTGGACTGAGATACGGGCAACTGACATGCATTCAGTTCTCGCACATTCAATTAATAGGCCTTGAAGAGATGGGCGACAGTGGAAGGGCTGAGACTGAACAGGCACTTATACGGCTACATGAGCCGAGAGAGAATGAGAGAAAGCAAGACTGGCCTTCTTACTATTATCCCACCACCAGAACATTTGGGGGAAGAAAAAGGACAAAAAAGAAAGAAGAAGAATTCTATGGTGCCATCACATTCTCTCAACAACAAGAGAAATCAAACAGAAAACTAACAGAAAATGCAAACGAGGCGAAGGGAGGAATGAGAGATTGTTGCAGATTAAGAGCCTGAACGCATGTAAGCTAAGAGCAGAAAATAAAACAAGGGAAAGGAAATGCAGCACCAGAGGAAAAATCAAAGACAACAGTAATGAGTGACAGAAGGCTGCGCCACAGCGCAAAGCTCAGAGTCATGGACAGTGATGTTGGGAATAGTGAGGGAAGGGGGCTTGGGATTTGGGGGCAACAAGGACAGAGTGAAAAAGAGATGTTCGTTTACACAATTCATTAGCATCATCATCATCAAAAAAAAATTATAAATCATCCAAAATTAGGGCTGGGCAGTATGATGACTATGCATTTGTGCTCTATGTATTTGCATGCATTAATGTGACTAACTGTAAAGCCCCATACACACTGCCAGCAACTTTAGCTCTGCTCATCACAAATAGATGGCAGCTGAGGTCGCTATTGTGTGTTCCCACTACTGATTGACGAATATGGGTGTAATTTCCTTATCTATCTATCTATCTATCTATCTATCTATCTATCTATCTATCTATCTATCTATCTATCAAATAATGATGGAGCTACACTTGACTCTAGGGTATCTTCTTAACAATTCTGACAATAAAAAAACAAGTTCTGCAAAGTGCTGTAGAAGAGCATTTTTTTCCAAAAATGTGGTGTTTTCCACATGTTGAATGCTGATGTTTTCAGGTGCACAAAAACTCTGTGAAAATGTGCTTATGTTTTGGTTATCACATTTATGTTACTAGCCAAACTGCAACAAGCATGTCCAGCATGTTTCTGGAGTAGTGTTTTTCTTTAAGGGTGAAAGAGATAGACTGTATGTTGCATTACTTGTTACATTACGTCATTTGGGCTGCCTTGTTGAGTGCAGTGGCAGTGAGAACATTACACATGCTCTTTTTTTAATAAATATTTTCTATGCAAATAACCATGACAAAACACTCAGTTTCTAATGCATACTAGGGCTGCATTTCTCTGGCTAAAATGAGTCACATTTTTAAAAAATGTTACTTTTTTACTAACAAAGGTTAATCATTTGCCGATTATTATATTCATTTCTCATATGGTAACATATGGTAAAACAATAACATTAGGCCTATTTATGTAGGTCTACTGATAGTTAAAACGCTACATTCTGTATAGACTTGAAATAGTGAAATTGAATAAACTTTAAATTTATTGTGGTTGTCAATGCCAATAAAGTGATGACATCAGAATACAACTATTCATAATTCTGAAGTTGAATTATGTTTGAGACATATGCTTGCCATTTATCATGAAACATTTGTCATTATCAGATTTCCTTTTGCATTACATTCAACACTATAGAGGCTAGAGTAGTTAAGACTGATTTAAACTACCGTGACAAGTGCACGTGTATGCATTAGTGCAGCCTTCGCACAGTCGCACAACCCTGCCGACGCGTGCCTCTCAAAAAATTTAACTATACATTGCAACGACAAGTAGCATAAGCTGTTATTGGTTGGCTTGGTATTGGTGACGAGCGTGTGCGGTGCTGAGAGCCACGAGACCGGCGATGGAACGAGTGTTTTCACGTGTAGAGTCCCATGGAGGAGCTCCAGATAGAGACTGCTGCTTTGTGTGTACCTTATGATTAAAGTTGTTGTATGTCCGTAATCATAACTCTAAAATTTGATCGTTTATGAAGATCATTTAAATGAGGTGAGCGCTTTTGGTTTCACTTTCACTGCAGAGTAAGCTCAATGACTGCAGTCACTTTGAGTTCAGTTTGCAACAAAACTGAACGTTTTTTAGAACTTCACTACATGTTATTGACAGCCTATGCAGGTTCTGTTGACTTAAGTAGATACTTCATTCACGGGCATGTGTGCGTCCTCTCGGTAGTAAACCGCAGTGCTTCAGCTCAAGTGTGATTTTGCAGCCACGGAAACATCATAACATTAAGACAAAAATTACATTTTGGTGAATTGGGTGAATCACATATTATACATATAGTATGAGACACTTTTAACACCATTTGGAGGTGTCCATGTTGTGTAAAACAATGGGAAAGACTTGTGTGACCGCCTTTACGGTTCTCTCTTGACCTTGAAAAAATAATTGGCTGAATTACAGAAAAGCTGAATTTAGATCATGTGTCGGGTTAAATAAAAACGGTGATCTTTTTTTCAATTTAATCATGCAGCCCTAATGCATACTAAACTAAAAACCTTGTGATACAATTATTGTTAAACCCCTATTCTCAAGTAATGATTCTGAATGGCATTGATTCCCTTTTTGATTAGTGAATGTGTTATCTTGGCACTAAAACAAATATACTGTTGGAGAATCAGAACAAAGGTGTATAACGTGTACCATCAATTACATGCACTCTTAATCTATGTGACTGTATATCTTTAACAAAAGCAGAAACACTTGTCAGACTGGGTTTACTAACTTGAACCATTGGCAGGTGCAGGAGATGTCGGTGGCTGCATAAAGTTTTTATTGCCATTAGTAATAATTGCAAAGTCTAATTTGCAAAGCTTTAATATAATAATTTGTGCACCTTCATCATGTGCCTCCAATCACTTGACACATGTACACTCTCTCACTATCATTTGGTCATGGTCACTCTTGTTGCTGAAAGCCATCAGCTCTCAAATGAAAATAAAGGGGATTGTACCGCTTTGTCACCGTATGTCGCTGGAGCTGTGCATGGGGCTTAAAAAGAAATCGAACAAATGGGTGTCATTAATATATATATTATTGCAGTTTTTGATAATATTTTGATCATTACTAAAATATAAAGTGTAATGATTTTAAAATTTATTTGCTTGTGGTTGAGGAAAGATTGACATTCAATTCTACTGTTGAGCTGTCACAGGTGTGGCCATTTTCACCAACCTTAATTTTCCACAAACAAACAAAAAAAACTATATATTTATTACTTGTTGACAAATTCAAACAGTTAAGGTAGTTTTTTTTTTTCAAAACCACACTCCAAAGAAATCATTTGTTTCGATTAATTGGGTATTTTTGTTTGTTTTCAAAAAGGTCTAAATCAGTGGTCACCAAACTTGTTCCCGGAGGGCCGGTGTCCTCCAGATTTTAGCTCCAACTCTAATCAAACACACCTGAACAAGCTAATCAAGGTCTTACTGGGTATACTTGAAACATCCAGGCAGGTGTGTTGAGGCATGATGGAGCTAAACCCTGCAGGGACACCTGCCCTCCAGGACCAGGATTGGTGACCCATGGTCTAAATGAAAACAAAGAAAAACTACATTTTTCAAAAATAAAATGATAAAATTATGAAGATAAAATAAAATGTATTTTATTAAAAAAAAAAAGTAAAAGTTTGTTGTTAAATGATCATCAAAAAAAAAAAAAAAACATTGTCATACCACCCAGCCCTAATTCACGCACTTCAATCAGCAGAGAATAATAGGAGTGTGTTCTCCCTCTCCATCTGAGCGAGGAGAAGTGATTCATTATATACACATCTGTGCGACAAAGGAAGTTCGCAAATTATATTCAAAGACTTAATGGGCTGTTGGGAAAGGAGAGAATACATATATACAAATATATAGAAAAAACAAACAAATTAAGACCAAATTAACTCAAATGGAACAATACACGTTTCTTAAAAGGGGAGGGGGACTATATGTGTGAAAATGTTAAAATGAAACAGAAGGCAGGTTATAAAAGACATGTGTTCTCTTTCTAATCAGGCAGTGAGGCAATAACTGGTGGGACATACCGCTCTGGGCCACTGCTGTCTGGGACTGATACACTGGCATTGTACTGCATTGGTCGTGGAGGTTGGCATTGGGCAAGGGCATGATGTCAAGTAAGGTGCCCGTTTAAGGAGGGGCACGTTTATGGGCGGGGCCAACCGGGGTGTCAGGTGGGCGGGCGTTCAGGGGCGGAGGTTGGGCCAACATCAAGATGGGCAACGCAGGAGGGGCAAGTCGATCCAGTACATGGGCAACGGAGGAAGGTGGCCAAAAACAAACAAAAAAAGTAAAGGAGAGGGAAGAGGGGGAGAAGGAATACATTTTAATTGAATACAAGGCTTTACTCATTAATCTATTGTCCAATTTTCTTTTTTGAAGAGACTTGGCAATGAATGCACAAGAAACAGGGCTCGACAGATCTAAATACAGTTTTAAAGTAGAACCACTGGGCAACAGTGTTTCACAAAGGACTATGGGTCAGCTCAAGAGTCAAGACATCTGTAATTGGGTTTTCGAAGTCGGGGAGAGTGAAAGAGAATGCCTTCAAGAACAAAGTCGAGAAGTAGTTCCCCTTTAATAGGTAAAGTCAAAGACTCATTAAATGATCTCATTTCAGAGAGCTTGTCTGTCCAAATGAGCCAACCTATAGCGACAAAAATGGAAGATCTGCCCTCAAGATCAAATGCATAAAAATATTTCCTGGATTTCAATGGGATTGTAATGGACGGATTGGCATCATGAGTTTTGATTTGTGGGATATCAAATCTGACTTGATTTGTGTTTTTTTGCTGATAAAGTTCATGAAAACTGTTGGTCAAAGGATTTGAATTTGCTGTCAGTAATCTTGCTTCATTAGAAAACACTGCACAAAAGTTCATGGTATGGATGCAGTGTGTTCTTATACTCACATCTGTGCGTAAAGCTTTAATGTTCTTGCCTCCCTTTCCAATCACAGCCCCTGCATTCTGAAAATAAAGCAGCCATTGTTAAAACAGTTATTTTTATTATTAAAGATATGGAGAAGAAACGTGAACATTTACATCACACTTACTTTGCTCTGGAGAAGCACCCTGAGTTCTACCATTTCATCTGTATTGCGGGAGCGTTTGAATGCCTGTTCCTCATCCATGTCCTCAGCAGGGCGCTTGCCTGAGGGAGTGCAAATTTGGCACATGAGCCTTAACAACAATTAAGATGGTGCTCTTTAAACTGATCATTCTGAGAAAGTGCAACCAAGAAATTCAAAACAACCAGAAAACAGCAGCTGATTTTCTCACAAAATTTGAGAACACATAGAAATCTCTATGTTTCTTTAAATATGACACATTTCTTAATGTTGGTTGATACAAAACAAGTCCAAAATCAATTTCAACTAAATTTAAAAGATGGCCAAGAATCCCACAACAAATGTCCGTTCAAAAGTCGGAAACATGATTAAGCCTGCGAAAGTGCCTCCTATAGAACTCTACATTATAAAAATAATAGTAGAAATAAATTTTGTTTACATATTATAGAATTTTTTAAAAATTGTAAATAAACAGAAATTTACAATTAAATAAACAAAACTCTTGGACTCACCTTATTAATTATGTTACCTTTTAACTACAGCATAAGCTGATTATTTTTACAAAACTGAAATGGCAAAAATACAGCAGCAAGGATGAAGACAGCATAAATAAAATTTAAATAATATACTTTAAAGGTTAATTAAGATGTGTATCTCTCTCTCTCTCTCTCTCTCTCTCTCTCTCTCTCTCTCTCTCTCTCTCTCTCTCTCTCTCTCTCTCTCTCTCTATATATATATATATATATATATATATATATATATATATATATATATATATATATATATATATATATTAAATAGTAAATGCATATTTAAAAAATAAAACAAATAAACATTTATAAAAACGAATACAAATAAAATAATAAATATTTATTTCAAAACAATAAATACAAAAAAAACTATTCAATGAAATTACAAATAAATTATGTTAAATGAATTATTTATATAAGTGTAATTAAAACAAATAAACAATAAACAAATACACATAGTGAGAAATAACAGAAACACATGCTGCACAGACTTCTTGTTTGATACAGCTTGGGTCATGCTTTCTTGGTGCTGATGTTCCAGGGACAAATTGCCTTAAACTTTTAATATGTCTTTTAACAGCAAATCCACTTCATCAGTGGATTTGCTACAGAAGACATTAAGCATAAGCCACTAGGCCAAATGCTAAAAATCTATTTGCACGCATGACAGCGTATTTTTTTGTCCAAAAATCATACTTCCCTATTCCCACTTCTCATGGTTGAACAAGCAAGAGTGCACAAAAGGCGAGAGCAAGAGCAAGCCAATCAATGGCAACGATTGCAATACTAATCTATAGGTGCAAACACTCCCCTCAGTGTAACACTTGAGTATTTATGGTCTGCCCAGGTGAGATGAAGTGTAAGGAGGAAATACAGTGGTAGTCCCACACATTTATAGTTGGTTTGTACAAATGATGGTCTCCATTTTAAAGTTTCAGGCAAGCATTGTTTTCCTTTGCCCAGATTTCTCAAAATATCTGTGTCAATCAATTAGAAACATTTTTAATGTGTTAGAAAAAAAATTTTAAAAGAAAATTTCACCAAAGTTATGAAAAGCAAACCTTGTCAATTTTGCTGCCCACTCCTAATGCCAAAAATTGATCGGTGTGACTCATGATTCTTTAATAGAGACTTTTAATAAAATGATTACATGATAAATACATCTAAAACAAAGACTACAGAAAATTATGCATGGGCACTATTGCACTCTATTCTGATGCATTACCGTTAGTGTCAGTGTTACTGAAAGTGGTATCTTCGTCCTGCTGCTCAATTTCTGTCTCCATTGTCTTCAGCCAGCCGTGAAACTGGAATAGGCTGTCCTCGACGAGTAACTCTAAGAGACAAACTCTCAGGAGTTAAAACAGATTAAATTTTCAAAAACATCCTTAAAATAATAATTAGGCTACATTTTTCTGGGTCTTAAAGTAAATGACATTATGTTATTGATTCAAATAATGTAAAAGGACTAATTTAATAATAGTTTCCTGTTGCCCAAAATCCAAAAGTCTGCTGCTTTTTTAAATGACTCTAAGCTTACATCAAACAAGGCCTTATATATTTCTCAAAACCTCTAATGACCAGATAATATACAACTGGTTTAATCAGGTAGCAGTGAAACACTGTTATGAGGACTGTGTAATATGAAAATAAATTAATATTATATGTTAAAAAGTAATTAAAAAATCAATATGATCATTTGAGATATCAATGAAAAACAAAAACATCATATATCATATTTCATATTACAATTAAATAATGTGTAGCCTTCTAGCATTAAATACTAAATACTAATATTAACAAGTGAGAATTTGTGCTTTTGACAGCAACAACAAGCAATATAAGATGTTTTTTTCTCCTTTGCCAACCACGGATATTTTGTCACTCTAGCTATAAATGATTACATAGTTATTTCATGAATTATTATAACTATTAATATTATTTCTCAAGACATGATGGCCATACAATTGAAACCACAGAAACAACTTTTTACAACCGAGTTATTTCCGGTTTTAAACTAAATCTCATGGATCTACATTTTTATCCTGTTCAGTTCCGAAGCATGTCATTTCTCAGCAAGACTGTGCCAATACCACGATGCAATGATGACAATGCTATGATGCAGAGTTCGACTATTTTCCGGCGGTAGTTTCATAGTACTTTACACAGTGAAACGTTATGACGAAAATATTTGATAAAATATCTTAGTAATTTTTCGCGAACATTAGCGTTCTTGTCTGAATAAAATACAATATTGAAATGCTACGCGTGCGATTATTTATAAAGAAAATACTAAATACTAAAAAACGCAACAACAATATGAATTTAATATTAAACGCGTCGTTTGGTCATCAAGTCCCTTTTTAACATTAAACCTCGAATATGCTTATTTTAATTACTAAAAACGACGTCTCGTTAAGTAACACTTACACGGGTTTATAGTATAAGGACTGATTTAGGGCTGTGTCAAGGCCCAATGCTACAAAATGGTGCGCAAGTAGCATTTAGCCTGCTAGCCATACAGTTACAGTTAACGTAACCATTACGGCATTAGCGTTCACTTAAGAACAAAATTGCTATATTTACGGAACTTTACAAGAGGAACACATGCAAAGATTGTGCACTATAACTGAACAATCTTTTGTACAATATACCAAACGTTTTTTTTTTTTTTTTTTTTGCGGTTGCGATATGTGTGCACAAAATGGCTTGTTTTGCCAGCTTCATTCTTATTGCGAGTAAAATCACACTACACAATTCGGTTGGTTCAAATAACTTTTATTTATTTATTTGTAAACCGATTGTTTTCGTATACAGCACTGTACTTTGGCAAGACAGTAGGGAAAGTGGTTGTCATTGACTGTTGCGTCTGATCAGCAGGAAACTCTCCATTTTGAGAAGTGCTTAGCACTAGCTAAGTACTAGCTGGCTAATTTACACCACGGTAACGTTAACGCATTTAATCTGGTGTAACTAACGATCGACATTTCTGTGATTTAATACTACATGATATAACTTTAATATTGCAAACGAAAGTGTCTTTGTAGTAACAAGAATCAAAATATATTACTAACCTGCAGGCAGCCCTTCCGTCACACCAATTTTCACCCGAAAATTCTACGCCTTCTGTCTTGATTTCATTGTAGGGTTCGGTGCATTTCTTACCTACGCGATTGGCTACTCCTACCGCTAACGCGCAGCTCTATTGGTTTAAAAGATTGTCTATATAAATTCTAAGAATCTAATTGGGCTAAGGGACTGTCAGTTATTCAATGTTAGCCCGCCCCTAAAGCGTTCGCTTACATTATAGGTTATCGTCATAGCAACTGAGAAGCGCTCTTGTCTCGTTATCCTGAGTTAACAGCTTGTCACCGCATAGTCATCTGCAATAAATTAAGAGACGTTTTTATCACTATTTGAAGTTAACGATTAACAACTGATACAGGACCTCTCACGTCGGTCTTTTACATCTGACAGGGTTGGTTGCGTTAGGTCTAATGTAACGTTTATGTAAAAAAAACTGTCAATCTGCATTAACGTTACGTTGTTAGACAACAACATCGTTTTAATTATCGTTATTTAATACTACTGCATCTTTTGCGATTAAAATCTGATGGGAACTTCATCTTTTGTGTTAAGAGGCAACATCAAGTAGTTAAATCTGTGAAATATGTTGCATAATCGAATGCATATGTCGCCCTCTCCTGGTTGAAATATAACAGTTCGGCTCATTTTGGCTTGTGTTGTAGTAATTCCATAAATTAATGCCCCTCTGTGTAAGCATTTGAAATAAACATAAAAGCTTTATATAGGTGGAACACTTTGCTCTAAATAGGCTAGGGACTTACCAGGAATACCAGCATTGCAGTCAATTGTTAAATTTAAAAGCGTAGTTTGATCAATTTTATCTACATATTGTTCATGTCATTTCGTCTCCATTACACTGTGACTGGAATGCTAGACTGAAAAAAATCCTTGCATTTTGTTTAGAATTAGTTTTTTTTAGATGCAGCCTATCTTGTGCGTCAAATAGCACGTCACACTCCAGTAATGGCTATTCATGAAGTTGTGGTGTTGTTGAAAAGAGCAAGATGGAAATGCAACACAGCCAGCTGAGATTGTAATAAACATAATAATAGGTAATGAAATATTAAGTAAATTGCTCGAATAAAAAAAAACTGCCTTCTCCAGACAATTCCAAACCCCTCCATCTCTGTCATAAACACAAATCTCCAACAACAATAAAAAAATCGGCCCCATGACAACACAGGTGATCGATTGTCGCCGATTTGGCATTGCTGAGAGCATCTTTAACGTTCCCCTCCACATGTAGTTACAGCGATGGCTGAGGGAGATGCGGTCGGTAATCAATAGGCGCTTGCAGGTACGCGCTGCTGCCTCTTCACACGCGCGCGCACACGCACACTGTCTCGCTTGTTTTCTTCCCCAGCGCTGGATGTGAGACGTCAGCGTCACCACCGCAGCCCGTAGACACACACAGCCTGCGGCCACACGGTTTACCACCGCGTCTGGAACAAGCAAATCCTGGACAGCGCACCGTATCACCACGCGGACATTTCCCCGTCGCGGTATCACCTTTTCGCGGAGACCAGATAAGGCCACTCCATGACAGTCTGGCGTCGCGCACAACGTCTTTGCGCATCCCACAGCAGCGGCGTCTCATCTCGGAATTGCTGAAAATACTACAAGACACTACACAACGCCGAACGCACCGCGCTAGACCTGCTATGACCGCAGGGGTTCGTGGAATGGCTTGCTGGGGGTTGTGTGGGTTTTTATTCGGGCTGCTGAGGATCAGCTCGGCTTGTCCTGTGTCGTGCTTTTGCAATGCCTCAAGGATCTCGTGTATCGATCAAGAACCAGGGATCGAGGATTTCCCTGTCTTGATGCCGGAGTCTGACATGGAGAACATCACGGATATGTAAGTGGAGCGCTTTAGTGAGAAATACACCGGGAGACCTGCTCCAGCTTCACGGATGCGTGAAAAAACATGCGCGCGTGTGTGTGTGTGTTTGTGAGCGTGTGCGCGCGAGGAGTGTGTGGGTAGATTCCTCAATCCGTCGAGGGCCAAAATAAGTTAGTGCACTGCTATTCTATGACATTCACAACAAGCCACCGATGTGGATATTTCTGGAGTTTGTAGTCATTTTTTGGCCGTACAATTGCATATAAGCTCCTCATATCAAACAAGACCAGCATGACAAGCAACGGACATCATGTGTCGTGTCTGTGCGCGAAAGAGGATGATAGCGGTTGTAAGGGGTGGGGGCCACGGTAAATAAGCAAGAAGTTGACTTGATTGCATATCCAAAGGGTCTTTTTATAATGATGGTCATTTGAAGAATAATTTATTGCGGCTGCTGCTGACTCACCTCGGCTGACTTTCTGTACCAGAACAGGGGGAGCGGAAAAATAGACCCTATCGACTTACACTAAAATTTATAAACTGACCGCATAACGAAATTAGATGCAGATCGGTGTAGATTTAGCGTCCGCTTAATGGAGCTTTATCAGTGCTGATCTGATCTGCTTCAGTGTCTGCATTAGGCAGCAGCACTGACAGACTAGCCGACTTGAGAGACCGTCAAATGGTTTGGGGCTTGAGGGGGGTGGGGGGTGCTTTTAGGCCTGCCGTAAAGGATGCGCTAATAAACAGCTGTTATTTCATTATGGAATTAAGTTTTACTCGTGTATTATTGCATGAGTATGCTAGTCAGGGAGTAGGTTAGCCTAACGTGTCCGCAGAGCAATAGGCATCGGCGCCTACGCAAATATGTCACTCCGTTTCCACGACAACGGCTCACCGGACTCACTCCAGGCATGTGCGCGCTGTAGTGAAATCATGGCTTTTTCACGCTAACCTTCATTAACGTGTTCATATGGTGACGGGTTGATAAAGGAATGTCAAATTACGTGCGTCTGCTTCTCTCTGAAGACTAGTCCTTAATCATATTGAGTGATATTTAAAATTTTGCTCTATTTCGTCTGTTAGAGCTCACGGAAATCACTATTATTCAAATATTTTATTGCACGTATTTCAATATTTATTTCTCTATACATATTTTAATACCATGCTAGGCCGATTCTACTATTATATTGGCTTGATTGAGTTTGTATTCTGGTTTAATTCAACAATTTAATCCTCAAATTTAGCTACCATGTTAATAAAAAATCCCAAAATACCATCAACATCGAGGATCATTAATATTATTATGGAAGAAAAAGCTTATATTAAAAAAGGATGCTGTTACTCATAAAGGTTCAGCATTGCTTTAGAGGTTTCATTGATATTTTTTCCTTCCACAATATGTTCTTTGAGGAAAATGTTCAGTAAATAAAATAAACGATTAATTAAATGACTGTTTAATTAAAGGTTGAAATGGCCTCTTATGACATTACTGCAAAACCCCTCTTTTAATTGTTCCGAGTGGCAATAAAGACTTAACATTTATTTTTTTCTATTACAATTACTGAACTTTTTATTGCTATTCTGTCAAAAACAAATGTATCAATTTCCTTGCAAAAATAAGCAAACTGTTTTCAACAATGATGGTCATAAGAAATGTTTCCAGAGCAACCAATTATTTGAATTGTTTCTGTAGGAATGGTTAGGATTACAATAAAAACTATAATTTTAAGTTGTAAGAATATTTTAATTTTACTGCAGCCTTCTTCCAAAAACATTACAATATCTGGTGAAACATTTCTGTAATTCTTTTAAATAATGTTTCACTTGTTTATATTGGTTAACATGTTAACTGATCATAACCAACAATAAATGATACACATTTAATAAACATTTTGTAAAAGTATTAATGATTATTTATCAGTTCTATAAACATGCAGCTGTTCATTGTAAGTTTAAGTTAGCTTGAATCTATTACTTTACACTAACTTAAACAATGTTTGGTTTTATTAATGCTTTTTTAAATATTGAAATTAGCATTAACTTGGGTTCATAATTGATTTAGTACTATTTGTTTCTTATAGTTAACTAATGTTGTTCACTAATGTTCACAAATAAAATACCCACTTTTCATTACCATTGTTTTATTATTATTTAACATGACCCAACAATGAAAACATAGCTTAAACAGTATTCATTTAAGCTAAAGTTTACTAAAATTAATTAGTATTTTCTTACATTAGTTGCACACAAACTAACAATTTCATGTTTACTAATGTTAACAAAGATTAACAAATGCTATAAAAATAAGGCTAATGTTACTAAATTAAATCACAGTAAAGAGTTCACAAAAAGCTCACAGACTATAAACTGTTGGTCCATATTCCCATATATCCCCATAGTGCCATGTTTTCTGAACATGATTACAGAATGTTCCATTAAATGACAAAAAAAACCAAAAAAAAAACAATTAGTCAAATCATCAAACACGTGATTGTACGGTTTTGTACACGTACTGTATGTAGGGGTTGACTTATTTATTTCTTTTCCACAGATATATATCAAATCAAAAAAGGCTATTTACAATCAACGAGGACCACATGAAGTTCTACTCGAATCTCAGGAATTTGTAAGGATCTAAATTCTCCCCACTTATTTACATGCTAATGCCATTAACATGACTTATGCAAGCAAATACTGTCTTACACAGAACAGTGACCAATACCCACCTGACATATGTATCTACCATGGCCTTTTTCAACAATTCCAAGCTTCAATATCTGTGAGTCTGGTTTTTAATACTTTATTAAAATTAAACCAAGTAAGGTCACTTGGTCAGTGTTTTTAATAGTTTTCTTAAATGTTTGTTTCTGTCCTTTCCTGTAGGAATCTCGGAGACAATAACTTATCAACACTCTCTTGGATGGCAATGCGGAATTCAAACGTATCAACTTTGTAAGATCTTTTTTTTACTAAAAATACATATATTACACTATATGTGGGGGTTGTTAACGTGATATTGCACTGTCACACATGACAAAAATGTGTTTAAAGTACAGTGAATGGTTACACACGTCTTTGCCTTCCATGGACCACTAAAAACTGCTGTTTTATTTAATACTTTTGCGTATGGCAGCACAATATATCGTTTCAGCATCGATGACGCAATGTGGTTATTTGCAATAGTCATCAAAAACAAATGATGAAATATAATATAAACTCAACTTAGCATGTCCTTCAATGTGATTATTTGCAAGAGTCACATTGAAGGATGTTGAGTTTGTATTATATTTCATCATTTGCATGGGTTTTTGATGCCTGTGATTGTATATTGATCTTAAAAGCATTAAGAAATTGTACCGTTTGTGACTTTAACAATGATTCCTTTTATTTAATTATTTTTATTTTCAGTTAATGGACTTGAATACAGTTAGACTCAGAAAACGATAAAACACTTTTTCAACTGTTTCTACTTCTTGACTGTATTTATAGACCGTTATGCATGAAAATACTCACAACACATGCAAATACAGAAATGCACTATAAATAGAACAGATCAATTTAAAAATTGTCAAGGGAACCTAAAAATGTTATAGATAGTTTATTTGATTTTTTATATGCACTCCCACAACAGAATCATCCCAATCTATCTAACATGATAAATTCTTTCCAAATAAAGATGTAAGGTTAGCTGCCGATATTGTATAAACATCACAATATATATCGTAAAATAAAATAAAAATCGCAATGCTTGATTTTTCGAATATCGTGCAGCCCTACTTTTCAGCCAAATTTCTAAACTGTCCTATTGTATGACTCTCTCAAGCATATTTTAATAAATGACAATTTTCTTAAATTAATAAATTATAATATCTTAAGGTCGTTAATAAATACCTCAGGCCTGATTTTAAGTGGCTAGTCTTGTAAAATGCAATCGTTTTTTAATCCACATATTACCAAAAACATAAAAACAATATATTTTCTCACTGAAAACCATTTGTAAAACTTGATTTTGATTTTAAATTGTTTAATTTCACAGAAATCTTTAAACAAACCAAGACCAAGATCACGTGACTGTAGCCCCCTGTGTAGCCCCATGATCAGCTGTAAAATTTTTGCATCAGAATTTTTGCAAACATTTAACATTTTTAGAGCCACTATAAAATTTTTAATAACGTTTTGTCATCCTTTGGTGTGACATCCATGTTTATTGAAAATGAACAAGTCTGAGAAATCATGGAGAAAAAATATATTATTCATAATTTAATTTAAAATATATAGCACTATGTTAAGATATCCAACAATGAAGTTCGATGAAAATCGATTTCATGCTATTTGTATACAGTTGAAGTCAGAATTATTAATCCCTCTGAATTAGCCTTTTTTAAAAAAAATAATAAAATCTCCTTTTTTTCTAGCCTAAAATAAAAGAAATAAGACTTTTTCCAGAGGAAAAAAAATATTTTCAGACATACTTTGAAAATGTCCTTGCTCTTTTAAACATAATTTAGGAAATATTTAAAAAAGAAAAAAAATCAAAGGTGGGCTAATACCCCTGACCTTAACTGTATTATTAAAAGTAGTCTTAAATTCGTCTATGTCACACCATAGGAAGTATTAAAGTTACAGTTCAGAATTTTTTTTTTAAAAAGTGTTATAATTGAAAAGGTTAGGGGCCCTTTTTATTTTCTAATTCTCAAACATCAAACTTTCTTTAGAAAAAGCGTTTTTTACTGTCTATTTGTCATCATGTACACTGTGCTGTTTGCATCTTTCTGTTTCTGAAGTCTGTTTGGGTTTGCATTAGGTTGCTCTCTGGGAACCCTTTGCAATGTGCATGTGAGAACATCTGGATCAAACTCTGGTTGGATGACAGTGAAAGAGACGTTCTGCAGTGTCTACAGGAAGGAGGAAAAGCAAAAACCCTGTCTAGACTCACTCTGCCTTTATGTGGTATTGAAAATGAAAATACTGTTATGAATAACTATTTGTTATAAAATGTATTAAAAAGTCGTTTTTGCAAACATGAAAATTGTGTTATTTTTTCAGAGCATCCACGTGTCGAGGTATTCCCCACTGACGTTAGTCAAATGGCAGGAAGTGATGCTACAGTGATATGTAACGCATCAGGTTCCCCGACCCCAGAGCTCACTTGGACCTTAAATTCCAGCGAACACCCTCCTCTCTCAACCAGCCACGAGGTAACACTCTGTTTGCTTTTGAAGTAGAAATTAGTATAACACACACTATCGTAGTCCTGTTAGACTGTCTGTGGTTTATATTGTATATAGACGGTACACAAATGCAATGACTTGTTAAGCAGTTGTTTACCCAAAAAGTAAAATTGATCCATTTACTCATCCTCACATTGTTTCAAATCTGTAGGTCTTTTGTATATCCTCGAAATATGCAACATTTCTGTTTGTCCATTGAGAATGTAGTTCAACAAGACTTCAAAGAAGAGATGTTAAAAAAAGCTGAACTGTAATCCATATGAATTAAGTGGTTTAATAGTCTTCTGAAGAGAATGGTACTCTGTATTTTATAAAGCAGTAAGTTACTACACCTTACAACAAGAGCAACGATCAAACAGTGTAAATAGACCCTTTTCAAATTTCCAAGTTTCGCAGTAGCGGAAGTCGTCATATTTGGAAAAACTTAGAGCACAGTGAACGGGAGAATACGGGAGAATACACAAATGCTTTTGCTCAAATAATAAAATAAAAACTCCTCAATGGTGATATCAAGACTTTCAGAAAAAGGTAAAAAAAATTGTGAGACTGATAGTGACAGTCAGAGGAGAGAATAACATCAAATTTACTCTCAGTCCCATAGATTCTGCATTACAAACACCTCGCATAAGCGGTAATTAGTTTTTTGTAATTCGAAACAAAGATGAAATAATACATTCATAAATGCATATAAATGTTCATAGTTTTTTTTTTTATCTAAATATTAAAAACTTAAGAATGTAAGATGCTGATGACTGTTAAACGCATTAAAACAGTGAAAAGGGTCCATACAACTGAAAAATGCAAAATGCAAAATTAACTTTTACATTTATTTTCATGCCTGATTTTATCACTGTATATTTTTGTGTATATGCACAGATTAATGTATGTTAATAAAACCTTGTAGAAATCTGATATATGGAAATCTATGCAAATTAAATATTAATGACATAGAAGTTCGTATTTGTATTTTAGAAATTTAAATGATATATTAGATATACAATCTATATTTCAAAATACTGCAAAAATGGCTGTTTACTTATATATTTTTTTCAGTCAATTGAATTACCCTAATGTACATACTGTTGAAGTCAGAATTATAAGCCAAGTCCAAGTCCAAAAGTCTACATGCTCTATAAGTGAATTGAATAATTTAAAATGGCCGCAGTGTATGTGTGTGAATGCAATAGTGTATGGGTGTTTCCCAGTGTTGGGTTGCTGCTAAAATGGCATTAATAAATATTTAATTAATTAATAAAGAGACTAAGCTGAAAAGAAAATAAATGAATTAATATATGTCCACCTTATATATGGCCATATAGACAGTTTTTAGGGATGTAAACAAAAACAATGGTCCCATCGTATTTTAGATATCATAAGATATCATAAGATATCATCACCAAACTTGGTACAAACATGTGTAAGGTTAATTTGAGGTCACAGTGCATGGTGGCGCTATAAGGTTTAAAAACCATAAAATGACCCTAACCTTACAACCATTTATCCAATCAGCTTAAAATTTGGCATGTAGTGTCTTTGACCAAGTTGTCACGACATACTATAAGGACACTGGCTTATCTCAAAAAACATGGCCACCTTTAGCTAATTAAAATTGAGCAGCCATTAAACTAGGTTAACGATGAGTGATCAAAACGAAACTTGGTGGGCATGTTAGACTCATGGTCCTAGAGGTATGTAAGAGTTTTGAAAGAAATCAGTCACTAGGGGGCGATTTTGTGTTTTTAGAGGTTGTAATTGATTGGTTATTAAACAAAGTTTTCCACAGCCACACAAAATACATATCATATGATAGGTCTGCTTATTCTAAACTGTTTGACACTAAAACCACAGCTGCAACTCAAATCGTTCATTAAAAAATCATCAATATATGAAAAACCTACTTTTGCGAAATAGTCCCTGTTTTTTTGCTCAATTGCAACGAAACCAGTGTTGTTAGTGTCTCTGGACTGAGTAGATCAATAATTATCAAAAAAAGTTGAACATTTCATTTTGGCTAGCTGTAACAGGCTCATTTACAAAAGCCGCATGTCCACATGAACCTACATGCCTGTAAACCCATAAGGAAAACTCAAAACATCACAGAAATTGGTGCGCACATGTGCCATATTAATGTGAAGAAGCATGCTAAATTTTGTGCGCTATAATAGTAGAAATGGTCCTAAAAACTTGCTAAAATTGTGTAAAAAAAGCAGTAAATGTGCTTTATTTACACACTTTTACAAGTTTAGTACAACCTTATCACAAATTATTTACATGTTACACTTTTTTGTTCATTTTGGATGTTTTAAAGGTCTCAAAAACACATTTTTAATATTCTACATTTTTAACCACTATAACACAGACTTTTAATTGTCACCTACCATATTTAACCACTAGATGTCAGCACAAGACCATTTATTATTTGTTCACAACATTTGCAAACCGTTTTTTACATTTTTAGAGTTTAAAGTAATAGAAATCGCATTTAGGATCATTCTGAATCACATTTTGACATGATGCAAACACTGTTATGCATTAAAAATCTATTTTAGTCCCAGTTTACCTCTTCATAATAATTCTAATGGGCAAAAACTGGTTCTATAATTAAACACCTTGTTTTAAAACATATTTTAAAAAATTACAACTGTGGCCACTAGATGGCAGTATAATCTGCTCAGAAGCAAAGAATGCATTCTGAATCCCAAATTGACATAAACACGTTTAATACATTTATGGTCAAATTTAGTCAAAGCTTGTCACACTTTTTACTCTGTAGATAATTATTTATTTTAAATAAAATACAAAATTTTAACTTTATATAGTAATAACATGCTCATTCATAGAAGGGATTTATTTATGCACACCAAATTGGCTGTAATCAAATAAATAAATTACACCGTGGCCACTAGATGAAAGTAGGAGATCACTAATAGCTTTTTTCACTGCTCTTTTGTAATTTTTATTTTGAAGAGCTAAAATGGCCATAACTCTTAAATGGATTAAAATATCTTCACCAAAGTTGTTACTCATATGCAAGAGGTCAATCTAAGGTCATAGCATGAAATTTGATGACATTGCCCACATGGTGGCGCTATACATTGAAAAATCACTGTATCAGAGTAACCATTTATCTGATTAAATAGAAATTTGACATGCGGTGTCTTTGTCTAAGGTGCCATGACTTGAGCTACACATGATATCATAGGGCTGCTTATACTGAATACTTTGACAATACTTTGATATAAAAACTATCGCTTAAAATGTTCATTAAAAATGTCAATTTATAAAAACTGAAGTTGCTTTTTTGGATAGTGTAATCTTTGTTAGCTCACTCTATAAACTCTAATTCTCTAATCATTTATTTAATTGTCGAGTAAACTAATTACAGACTCCTAACGCTGCTAAAACGCTTGAACCCCGTTAATTGCTGCTTGCAGTTATATTTTTATTTATTATTACATGAATTGATAATATGGGATCAACTCATTACAATGTTCATATAAAACAGTTTGAACTGTGATGTTTTGTAGGTTGGACTTTCAAATCAGAGATTAAAATCTCTCAGGATTCAGTAATAATATCTTCATTTCATGTTTCACAATTGAACACATTTCTTTTGGGCTTGAAATGATATGAGGGTGAGGTTTGACTGTTGACAGAAAGCTAATTTTTGTGTCAAAACATTTTATAGACAAAATATAAATTCAGTCATTTTGCAGTTTGATTCAATTTGGTGTAACAATTCTTAACTTAGTTTTTTCAATGATAACAACTGCACGCACATGTGCAGTGTGATTAGTGTTCAGTTTCAAATAAGGTTAAAGACTCTAAAAGTAACTAAAGAGTTTTTGCATAAAGTCCCCCTTTCTGTTGATGCATAGCTCGATCTTCCACAAAACTGTAACCTTAGATCCTGATGATAAACTAGGTGGAAAACAGACTAATGTACAGTGATCATATTTTACTGTTGTAAGCCTATACAGCCTTAGTTTTAACCTCTCTACTTCCTATACCAGTTTTACACATTAATGACACTTAAACACTTAATCTCTGTAGCATTCTGTAATGGGCTTTCAGATATCATGATTGATCACAGCACTGAAACCACAGATGCTTGACTTAGCCTTTAAAAGCTTTGTGTTTCCATTAATATTTAAAATGGAATATATTCATAATCTCAACATTATGTTTTACCATGGAAATTTTTTTTTACTTTACTACTTACTTTAATGAAATCAAGAAAACCCCAGCTTGTATGACAAATTCAATAGACTGAGGTGTAGAAGAACATTATTTAGCTTTAGCTAGTGCTTTGTTTGGCTGACGCCACATTCACACTGGGCGTCGGCGTCAACGCTTCCCATTCACTTTGAATTGGTGACGTCAGGCGTTGCAGAACTGCATTGTGGATCCGTCAGCGCCGCTTCAGAGGCGTTGCTCGCTGCAGAAGTCGGGACTAGCTCAACTTTTCAAGCGCCAACGAAAGCGTCAGCCAATCAGATTGCTGTATGCAAATACACCAGCTAGACAGTGGTCTTTTTTGACTGAATTTGAATGGCTGACGCTTCTATGACGATCGCTTCAGCCCCAACTTCAGACACGCCTTCAGTCAAGCATTGACGCTGAAGCCCCGTGTGAATGGAGCGTGAGATGCTTAGAGTTACTGCATAGTAAAGCAAGACCAAGGCATCATGAATGTCATTTAACATGACCAAGTAACTCGTCAAGTAATTTGACCAGGGGTGCATTTTCGAAAGCCATCATTAGCCAACTAAGGTCGCAAGTTCCGTCGTTACAAACATAGCCTATTCATTTGGTGTTTAACAAATCATCGTTCCAATGAACATTCGCAAACTGCATTGCAAACTTGTATGCTTGCAACTACACCTCTAGAGCTGTAGTTAGAAGCATAGTTCCCAGTTATCCACCCTAAGCCCTATTTCTTTCAAACGCTTAAACATTTAATCATAAAAAACATTAAAGTCATCTCTCTTACATTAATTTACTTACAAAGTTTTTTTTACAGTTCAGTCTGAGCGATCTTCATATTGACAATTGCGTTCCCTTCATAGTGCACTTTGAAATCATTTATTTCATTTTGAATGCAACAGTGGCTCATGACGAAAGCTATAGGTGACCTATGTAAAGTGCAATCTACGTTACGTCTCTAACGTTTGTGAAGGCAAAAATATAGAGCATACAATAATAGTGTTAATTTTATTATAGGAGTTTAAGCTATTTATTAAGAAATGTATACTGCTGCATTAAGCCTATATGCTAGAACATTTCTGCAGTGGTTTGATATACAATTGAAGTCAGAATTATTAGCCCCCCTGACTTATTAGCCCCCTGTGAATGTTTTTCTCCCAATTTATGTTTAACAGAGAGAAGATTTTTTCAACACATTTCTAAACATAATAGTTTAAATAACTTATTTCTAATAACTGATTTATTTTATCTTTGCCATGATGACAATAAATAATATTTGACTAGATATTTTTCAGGACACTAGTATCCAGCTCAAAATAACATTTAAAGGCTTAACTAGATTAATTAGGTTAACTAGGCAGGTTAGGGTAATTAGGCAAGTTATTGTATACTGATGGTTTGTTCTGTCTATCGGAAAAAAATATAGCTTAAAGGGGCTCATAATTTTGGCCTTAAAATGTTTTTTTTTTTTTTATTAAAAACTGCTTCTATTCTAGCTGAAATAAAACAAATAAGACTTTCTCCAGAAGAATAAATAATATCAGACATACTGTGAAAATTCACTTGCTCTGTTAAACATCATATAAACATCTATATCATTTTATTATTATTAAGTAAAATTGTATTTTATTCCTTAATGAATAGCCTGCCATTAATTAAAACCATTCACATGATGATTTACATATGAGATTAGAATAAGTGTAAGCTTTTTGTAAGTGTTTTTTGTTTTGGAATAGAATATTGAATACTAATATTTGTAAAGAAAACATAGACCCTTATATGTGTCATTTACATATGTTTCAATTAATGAAATTAACAGCGAGTGCATGTTTTTACCTAAACTAATATTGGATTAAAAAAATTATGTAAGTGCGTGTAAAACTATTTAATTTGCACAACAAAATGTTATGGGTTTTTCTCTAAAAAATTTGTTATTCCACCCAGGGACGTAGCAAACATTTTAAAAGTAGAGGGACAGCTGAATGAGATCCAAAAGTTTAAGTTCATATAATTAGTAATCACCTCTTTCTAAATGGTCTGTCTCTAAAAGTGAGGGGGACATATCCCCCGGTTGCAACTGTATGCCCCTAACTCTACCCTGTTTAAGCATTGTTATGGATGTTTTATGTTATAACTAACGTGGTTCAAACGATAGATCTGTGACAGAAATCTACGGTTTTAGGAAACACCACTTCATTGTTCTTTTCCCAAACAATGCATCATACTATGATAGTTCAGCCGCGAGTTATGTCATTGTTTGGGAAACACACCCCAGCATAGTTTGGTTGCAGAAATGATTGACTTTGTATGTATCATGGATTTTTGTATAGCAGATCATATATAATGAAATTAAAACTTTAATTCTGTCTTTGAATGAGGACAAATGAGGACATGAAGTCATAATATTTCCTAGATACAGTAAAACAATAAACAGATGTCCAAAAACCAAATAACACCCCACAATTAAACTATATTTGAAGACAAAAGTATTAGCCCTCTTGTGAAATGTAAACTTTAAAAAAAAATATTAGAAAGTAATGTTTAACAGAGAAGATCATTTACAGTAATATTCCTTTTTAGTTTGGCTGGAATAAAACAAGTGTTTTAAAAAATGTAAAATCTGCTGGTCAATATTATAGCCCACTTTATTTTATTTACATTTTTTGATTGGCTACAGAACAAACAAACTACATTTGTCCAATGAATTGCTTAATTAACTAAACTAGCCTAGTTTAATTAATCTAATTAAGTCCTCGATTGCACTAGTATATATTATTATATTGCATATGTATGTAAAAAAAGTATATTATGTACTGTCATTATCGCAAGACAAAAAGTTATAAGGAATAACAAACTATTATGTTAAAAATATTCTCTTTTATTAATGTTTTTATTAAATAGCACCCAGGAATAATTAAATAAAATAAATAAAATAAAAATTGACAGGTGGGCAAATCATTTAGTTTTCAGCTATAGTTGTATTTATATATAGCCCAAGTTTGTAAGTTTCTTTTATTCAACCAGCAAGTTATGTTTTGACACAGGCTTCCACTAATAGATAATAAGATGATGTACAAAAGGAATCATTGTGCGTTTTTTTTTTTTTTTTTTTTTACATTTGAACAAAAGAGGCATGTCCAGTGGCATGAGCAGTGCTCAACATATATAAGTACACTCCTCATTAATCTATCTTTTTACTATATATTTGTGCATATACATTAGATTAGTCAGTACTGAAGCCAAATCTGGAGCTTATCTAACAAAATAACTTGTGATAACGCTCCAAAAACTAGTACACCCAAATGTATTTGTTATAGAAAAATATTAAATACAAATTTTAAAAAGGGGGAAAAAAGAAGCTAAAAAACTGAAGAGAAAATTGTAATGTTTTTTAAATATTTATCTTAAATTTATTTGTATTATCTTTAGTAAATAAATATGTTTAGGTGACGCAGTGGCGCAGTAGGGAGCCTCACAGCAAAAAGGTCGCTGGTTCGAGCCTCGGCTCAGTTTGGTTTCTGTGTGGAGTTTGCATGTTCTCCCTGCGTTCGCGTGGGTCTGTAGTGTGTGAGTGTGAATGAGCGTGTATGGATGTTCCCAGAGATGGGTTGCGGCTGAAAAGGCATCCGCTGCGTAAAAACGTGCTGGATAAGTTGGCGGTTCATTCCGCTGTGGCAACCCCGGATTAGCAAAGGGACTAAGCCAACAAGAAAATGAATGAATGAATGAATGAATAAATGAATAAATAAATATGTTTAATAAATCTGTTATGTTTAAACACACCAACATACAAATATTCATTTTCAAAATGAGGTGTACTCACTTATGCTGAGCACTGTATCAGTACTTCAAGTTTTACATAGCCAAGAATAGTTACAGTAACATTCAGCATTAACATGTTGTTATCAGGTCAGAAACTAGCTGTTGTTTCTTTTCTCACAGATCAGCAAAATGGACCTGCAGTCGGTGCTGACTCTAAATGGACTTTCGCCTAATGACAATGGCAGAAAGCTCATTTGTAGTGCTGAAAACATCGTGGGCCAGATCGAGGCTACAGTCATGCTCAATATTTCTTGTAAGAACTCCATGTGTGTTGTGTGGATTTAGTTTGCATTGTTTTGTTAGTTAAGGGTCCTCTCCTCTCAAAGAAAGCATAAAGCTCTTTAAAAATAGGAATTATTATTAGTTTGACATTTTAATGTATTTGTCCTCATAGTGAAAAAAATACAAGAAGTGATCTGAATGTTTCAGTCACTCTTAAGAGAACTAAAAAGTGAAAAACACAGTTTGAAAATATAGTGAATTATTGTGAACATTCATATTCCTGCTGGTTCCACTGTAAAACCCAAGTTAAGGTAACTCAAACTATTCGGGGAAACCGATTGCCCAAACCATTTAATGGTTAAATGGTTTGTTGCCCATGCAACAAACCATTTAAGTTCAAAACAAATCCTAATGGGTACTGTGCACTTAATCCATTTGAGTAAACAAAGCAATTTGAGCACAGTTAAACCCAATAAATGAAGAGAACTTCAACCAGCTGAATGCTGCAAAACCCAATAACTTAAGGCAACTCAAACCGTTTGAGGAAACTGATTGCTACAAACCATTTGAGTAAAACAACAACCACAACTAATCTATATGTGTACTTTGAACTTTTTTCATTTAAGTTAATGAGATATTTAATTAACTCACCTTCAAAACTGAGGGTGAATTAACTTTCAGTACATTTTGAGGTAACTACACTAATTTGATTTGATAAAGTTGACTGGGTTTTACAGTGTGGCCTTTATGTTTCTTGAGGTTTGTCCGCTGATTAGACTCTTCCTGAATGGTCATCAAATGTTATTAAATTTTTAAATTTGGAACAAAATTTGAATTAAATACAGAAAACATGGCAGTTTACTTGTTATCCAGTAAAAGCAGGTTAAAGTTCTTCTCTTTATTCAATGATCACATTTATTTTATCATGGATTGATAGGATATCAAAGGCTGCATGTCCTGTGAAATGTTGTTATTTTTTTGTGCAAATCATGTCAAGTGGAAGAAGCAATCCAAATTCAGAACATGGACAGGTTGCATGACATTGTTAGGTTTGACTAACATTAAGAAGGTTTGACATTGTTAAGAAAACTTGAGCAGTGATTATGAGAGTGCAGCATTGAATCACAGGAATAAATTAAATTTGAAACTACATTTAATAAGAAAATAATTATTCAAAAATGTAATATTATTTCATAATTTAACAATTTGTACTGTATGCTTTTATAAAAAATACACAGCAAAATACTTTTTCTTTTACTTTGAGTTTTGTCTTGTTTCTAGTCCAAATAACTATACATACTTAAATAAAAAAAATAAAAAAACATTTTCTACACAAGTTAATTATTGTCTTGTTTTCAAAAATTACATGTCAAAGTTAAGTTATTTATTCCCATAAAACAAGTAAATACGTGCTTGGCACACCTTGGCAGATTATTTTGCTTGTTTTAAAAAACTCACTTAATTTTGAACTACAGTGCATGCGGAAAGTATTCATAGTGCTTCACTTATTATTATTACTATTCCAAAATGGATTAAATTTATCTATTTCCTAAAAATTGTACACAAAACTTTTTGGGCCACTCAAGTACATTCGTCGAGTTGTTGTGAAGTCACAGGTTTTTTAATTCAGGATGTCTCTGTCCATTGCTGCATTCATCTTTCCCTCTATCCGGACTAGTCTTCCAGTTCCTGCCGCTGAAAAACATCCCCACAGCTTGATAGTGCCACTACCATGCTTCACTGTAGGGATGGTATTAGTCTGTTGATGAGTGGTGCCTGGTTTTCTTCAAACTTAACGCCAGGCATTCACTCCAAAGAGTTCAATGTTATTCTTATCAGACCAGAGAAATTTGTTTCCTTTGGTCTGAGAGTCCTTCAGATGCCTTTTGGCAAATTCTAGGCAGGGAGTGGCTTCTGTCTGGTCACTCTACCATACAGGCCTGATTGGTGAATTGCTGCACAGATGGTTGTCCTTCTGTAAGGTTCTTCTCCACAAAAGAATGCTGAAGCTCAGATGAAGTGACCATCGGGTTATCAATAACCTCCTTGACTAAGACTCTTCTCCCCCGATCACTCAGCTTAGATGATCAGCCAGCTCTAGGAAGAGTTCTGGTGGTTCCAAAGATCTTCCATCCAGGTTGATGGAGGCCACTGTGCTTATTGGAGCTTTTAGAGCAGCAGACACTTTTCTGTAACCTTCCCCTGCCTTGTGTCTCGAGACAATCCTGTCTCGGAGGTCTACAGACAATTCCTTTGTCTTCATGATTGGTTTGTGCTTTGACATGCCAACCCTGGGACCTTATGTAGACAGGTGTATGCCTTTTCAAATCATGTCCAATAGGCTGAATTTACCACAGATGAACTCCAATAAAGCTGCTGAAACATTTCAATAATGATCAGTGCAAACAGAATGTACCTGAGCTCAATTTAGAGCTTCATGGCAAAGGCTGTGAATACTTTTGTACATGTGATTTTTCAGGGTTTTTTTTTTTTTTAATACATTTGCAACAATTTAAATATATATATATATATATATATATATATATATATATATATATATATATTTTTTTTTTTTTTTTTTTTTTCACATTGTCATTATGGGGTATTGTGTGTAGAATTTTGTGGAAATAAATGAATTTAATCCATCTTGAAATAAGGCTGTAACATAAAAAAAATGTGGAAAAAGTAAAGCACTATGAATGCTTTCCGGGTGCACTGTTTTTCCTGAAAAGAAGACAATATTTTGCCTGTCTAGAAAATTTCTTAATTTAAGAACAAACATTTTTGCAGTGTACAACCTTGGTGAGTAAAATTTGCTTATTTTTAAACCTTAAACAATCTTACCGATTCCAAACTTTTGACTGGTAGTGTAATGTAGTTGGGAATTTGTCAATGTGATTTGTCTAGCTTTAGTTGCATTTTTAGATACAGAAAAAAAAGCTTCCACGTCATGGATTTTCTATGCCATTTTAAATATATTGTGCTGTTTATTTTTATGCTTAGGCTAATTTTGAATTTCATTTTACTAATGTTACACACATCAACGTAAATTATCCATTGTTGTTCTCATAGTCACTATTAAAATTTCATGCAAAATTAAAAGCTAACAATCCTTTTAATAATATACAAAGCACAAAAGCACCCTGTTTTTTGTTCATTATATGTCATGAAAATTCAGGTTTTTAATTTTAAAAAATCTGGGTATTTGATATTTGGTTTAAAGTGGTTTAAAGTGGTCGCCTCACAGAAAGAAGGTCACTGGTTCAAGTCCCGGCTGGCATTTCTGTGTGGATGTTGCATGTTCTCTGTGTGTGTTTCCCATTACTGGGTTGCGGCTGGAAGGGCGTCTACTCAATAAAAACATTTGCCGGAATAGTTGGAGGTTAATTTCTCTGTGGCGACCCCTGATAAATAAGGGTCTAAGCCACAGGTGTCAAATGCAGTTCCTGGAGGGCCGCAGCTCTGCACAGTTTAGCTCCAACCTCGCTTCAACACACTTACCTGTAGGTTTCAAGCAAGACTGATGGGCTGTGTCCGAAACCGCCTACTACTCTGTAGGTCCTGCATTTGAATTTAAACGTACTACTCGGCCGTTAGAAAAGTACGAATGTGAAAAGTATGAATGGAATTCGGATGTACTACATATGCCATTTTGTCTTGGTCACGTGACCTACCCGTGTCAGATGCGTCGCTTCACTTCCGTTCATGAATTCTCTTGCGGGGCTTTATTGACCTTATTCTAAAATGCGGAAGTGCGCCTGTTTTCGCGATGGTCTTAGAACTTCCGTTTCAGTCGCCTATGGGAGAAATGACAAGGACTAATAAACGGCAAAAAACGGTCAAACTACTTGCTCTACAAACAAATGTTTGCATGACTATACAGACCAAGTAGAATAATATAACAAAGAAATATCAGTTTGCAACATCAAACAGTGAAACGAGCAGTTTTTAATGTCTAAAAATGAATAGAAATGAATGAGACCGGAAGTCTCGTGCCAAAAAGATTTAAATGGCAGCGCCCGCTCGTCTGCGGAGAATAAGGTCAATAGGATAGCGCAGCGTGCATGGGATGCGCACTTCAGAATCTCGCCGGAAGTAGTAAGTCATCCGGGTACTTCTCGCATACTGATTTTCGAATTCTATGAATTCGGACATACTACTTGGCTCGTATACTGATTTTAGCCTACTATATAGTATGGAAGTATGCGGTTTCGGACGCAGCAATGGACTCAATTAGTTTGATCAGGTGTGTTTAATTAGGGTTAGAACTAAACTGTGCAGAGCTGCAACCCTTCAGGAACTAGATTTGAAACCTGTGGCTTAAACCAAATGAAAAAGAAGGAAAAAGGAACCCGGTATTATTGCAGACTTGTATTTCTTACAATTCAAATCAATACATTTCTAAGCTATTATGAGTTTAACTGTTCTTTGATATTATTTTTATTGTCTCTGAATGTATGAATTGCAAGTCTTGCACATTCACAAAAACCAGTTTACTTTTCCATTGTTAAACAAGATACGGTGAATAAAACAGGTTGTTCAATATGATATGATAATGTAACATCAAAAATAATATGTAATAATAACATCTATTTTTTATATAAATATACACTTTGGTTTGAGTAAAACATTTAGAAAAACATTTAGAAAATCAATGTAAAGCAATCAAGCATTAACCATTAGTCCAAACGTGTTTAATGTCATATAAATTCAAGAAAATCTGTTAGTAAAAATCACAGAACCATCAAATCATTTCTCCATGATTTGTTTTTTCAGCATGGAAATGTGTTAGTTTATTAAAGCTGTAACTGATAGAATCTTTGAGCATTCATTAGCAAATACTACTCTTTTCCAAGAGTCATTTTGTCTAAATAGGAGGCATTTGACATTAGTATGAGTGAATTAGATAATGAGAAGAGAAAATCTTTTTTTTAAAAGAATGGTATCTGAACTTCTGGGCGGGCTTTGAGAGTTCAAGATACATTTGAAAATGTGCCAAATGCTTAAGATTCAGGAAGTTTCCCCTCAAGCTATCACATTAGCTTACTGGGCCCAACAAAACTCACATTGTTGCAAAACACTGCTTGAAAAAACTTTGAAATTCTTTCCCACTTAATAGTATGCTTTATGCCTTCTTGGATATTTTACTTATTTTTTTATTTGGTTTGGTCAATCTGCTTTTGCTACATATATACTGGAAGAAGTAGTTTAAACAAGAAAATGATTGTCAAGAGATGCATTTACCCTTATGCCACCCTAAATCCATATTTCTGTCTACCCTGGAACACATAAACAGATGTTTTGCACAAGTTCCAAGCTGCTTATTCCTATATAACAAAATGCACTATGGGTCAACAAGATTTTTTTTTTAAACAAAATCAATCATTTTAGTCTGCAAGGACGCATATACGGTGCTCAGCATAAATGAGTACACACTATTTTGAAAATGAATATTTTTATTCATTTCTCAGTGAATGTAGGCAATGTATTTTGGTGCATTTAAACAAAACATTTATTAAACAGATAAATTTATTAAAATAATATTTTAATACGAAGCATATTTGAAAACTGAAAGATAATACAATTAAATTCAAGTAAAATATTGCTAAAAATTACAATCTACAAAATTTCAACTATACTTTTTGCTTCTCTTGATTTTTCCTCTGTTTTAAATTTGTATTTAATATTTTTTCCTATAACATATAAACTTGGGTCTACTAGTTTTTGGACAGTTATCGTAAGTTATTTGGTTAGATAAGCTCCAGATTTGGCTACAGTACTGACAAATCTAATGTATATGGACAAATATAATATTGTAGACCTTCCTAATAAAAATATGAATTTAAAAGATAGATTTGTGAGGGATGTACTTATATATGCTGATCACAAATGACATATAAAAAAATCACTTCAAAGTTAGTATTGGCTCACTGGATTTGTCATTAATAGTTACATCAAGTGATTTAAGTGAAATGGTATTTTATTTATTTGAATCTTATATTATATTTCATACACAACTCGGTTTTCAAGATAATGAATAAGAATGTCTACATTTAAGAATATGCAGAAAATGACAACGAGTCAAAATGAAATATTCCATGTTGTCAGACCTCAAATATTTGAATTAAACCAAAATATTTTCCAAAACCCAAATGAATTTTACTTAAAATTTAAAAATTAAGTGAAAATATAATTGGCATATGCAGTGGCTCAGAAGTTAGTGCTCTCGCCTCACAGAAAGAAGGCCACTGGTTCGAGCCTTGGCTGGGTCAGTTGGCGTTTCTGTGTGTTTGCATATTTTCCCTGTATCCGCGTGGGTTTCCTCCGGGTGCTCTGGTTTCCCCCACAGTCCAAAGACATGCGGTACAAGTAAAATGGGTAGGCTAAATTGTCCATAGTGTATTGTTGTAATGAGTGTGTATGGATGATTCCCAGAGATGGGAAGGAATCCATCTCTTCTCTCTTCCCAAGGGCATCCACTGCGTAAAACGTGCTGGAAAAGTGGGTGGTTCATTTCGCTATAGTGACCCCAGAATAATAAAGGAATTAAGCTGAAAAAGAAAATGAATGAATTAATTAAAATTAAATTACCAAGTATCTTTTTTTACTTGTATATTACAAATAATAATAAGAAAGAATGTCACTTCATTGCTATTCACTATTACATTGCATCTTAAATGATCATGTGAGAATAGTGGAGTAATGGTTTCTAACATAAACATTAAAATTAAAAATTTTAATTATTAAAATTGAAATCGAAAATTTTTAATTGCTGACTAATATTTCACAATAAGTGACAATAAGTTTTTGCGATATTTTTTCTTAAAAGGCAAGCTTTTAAAACTACTTCAACATTTCCTTGAAGGCATTCAGTGGTTTCAACCTAAATAAAGTCACATCTGAGTTAAGGCATAACAAAGAGCAGCTTGGAAAATTTGCAGGAATATCACATAATCCTTTTGTATTTTCATTTGGAATCACCAGGGGTCTGATTTATAAAAGTTGTGTAGAAACCTTTATAAAAGTGAACATACACCAGAATATTTTTTATTTATTTATTACTGATCATGGCTCCTGTGATAATTAAAAGTGGTTCAGTAGGTTTACTTATACAGCTGGGCAAATTCTGCCATCAAGTTTTTTATAGATCACAACTTTTGTGTCCCTGTTTTGTTTGTACACCATGTTTCTAAATGAGACCCCTGATCCTGATACAAATATATATTGCTTTTATACTCAAATGTAAAATGTCATTTTCCAGTTACCAACAAGCCATTATTTTTTTTGTCAAAATCCTTCTACATGTTATGTTTTTGGTTCTGCATTGCACGTTTCTTCATGCTGTTTTGTAATATTACTGTAAGCCTCTTCATTTCTTATCATTCTCTTGTATTTCTCACCCTAGAATCCCTCTACACTGCCCCTCCATTTCATGTGCTGTCAGACACTTTCCTTCCGTCAAACAGTGAAATTTCCTTTTGTTTACTCCTGTGGTGCATCCTGTGATCACGCTTCCTCTCCTCCTTCCTTCTTTCCCTCTTTTCTCGTTCCTCTGCTCCTTCTTCTTTCTCCCGGGTCAGTTCCCCCTACTGTCTTGGAGCTGTACCTGCCCGAGAGGAGCCAGGACTGGTGCATCCCTTTCGTTGTGACGGGCAACCCGAGACCTGACCTCCACTGGTACCATGAGGGAAAGCCGCTAGAGGAGCAGGAGTACATCAGAACTGAAATCCACGATATCACCAATACCGAGTACCACGGCTGTCTGAAGCTGGACACCCCCACTCACATCCATAATGGCATTTACACGCTGGTGGCCAGCAATGAGTTCGGAGAGGACAGAGGGAACGTGACGGCACACTTCATGCGCATACCTGACGTGGATCATTCAGGGATAGGTTAGCGCTTTGTGATGCCTTAGTTATTATTATGCTAAAAACAACACAGCTGTTAATGTGTAACTTTTTTCATGTTTTTGTTTTCACAGAGGGAGTGTTCTATTATGGTAAGTGACTTAAGACAAGTACAATTTGAGACAGCTGGATGAATCTTTAAAAGGATATATCTTCTGTTTATAGACAGCGGAAGTCAGAATTATTAGCCCCTCTGAATTATTAGCCCTCTGTTTATTTTTTGTTTAATTTCTGTTTAACGGAGAGAATATTTTTTTTCAACACTTTTCTAATCATAATAGTTTTAATAACTCATTTCTAATAACTGATTTATTTTATCTTTGCCATGATGACAGTAAATTATATTTTACTAGATATTTGTTAAGACACTTCTATACAGCTTAAAGTGACATTTAAAGGCTTAACTAGGTTAATTAGGGTAATCAGGCAGGTTAGGGTAATTAGGCCAGTTATTGTATAATGGTGGTTTTTTCTTTAGACCATCGAAAGAAGTAGTTTAAAGGGGCCAAAAATTTTGACCTTAAAATGGGTTTTAAAATTTTTTAAAAACAGATACAACTTTTTCCAAAAGAAAAAAATATTATCTGACATACTGTAAAAATTTCCTTGCTCTGTTAAACACCAATATAATAATTCTGACACCAACTGTATAATGCAGTTCCTGACACATTCAGTTATAGATGGCAATAACTCACACACCTCTTAGCCTAAAACGCACTAAACTGCTTTTCCTACAAAAATACAGAGCAGGTTATGTTTTCCAGCTCTCTTTTTCTTTTTTTCGCTTGATGTTATGAGAACTACTCCCTCGCAATAGCTGTAAGCAGCATTAGCTACGGATATTTGAATTACATATCAACAGAACAAAACCGAGATGTGAGAACAAACGGAGCACTTGCAATCAATATACTTCACCTGCAGCTGTTTTTCACTCATTTATAAGCCTCATGTCCTTGTCAGAGGTTCAACTCACCGATACTTTTCATTTTAGAGATATAGTCATTGGTGACTGTGTTATATCGGGTTAGTTTCTGCTTATATTTGGGGTCAGATAAATATTTGCTGGTAGGGAAAATGTATTGTTTCACTTCTGCTATTTATACTTTGATTTGCATTTCAGTTTATTATTTTTTCCCACTTAACTGCAAATTAGAATAGAAACGGTATAAACATACTGACAGTTATAGGTACTGTACATTGTTATGGGTCAGTGATGCAAATTTTCGGCACAAATCTATCAATTACCCCTTTCTGGCCCTTTTTTTCTATGAATGAAATATGTAGAAACACTGTCCATGCATGTTTTTTGGTCGGTTAGAAGCGTATATTTCATTGCACAACAATTAGTCCATTCGGTTTTTGGCTAAAAAGAGAAATCTCGGTTTACTTTGTTATTATTAGATTATTTTAAAATTTCACCTACCCTTCTGTGCATGAACTAAGCTGTTGAATGGTCAGCGTATGAGATGGCTAGGCTAACCTAGCTTCAATTTTGGCTAAATTATTTTCTAACCGGTTGCCTATTATGTTATGAATATACTCCTATTATGCAGACTGCAGTCCTTTTTTGTTTGGCTTTCTCAGATATATCACCTGTTCACCAAAAATGACTAATTATATCCCTGGGAATGTTTGACACAGGCGCTTACATATTGAAATAGAAGTGCCAGGCATGAAAGTTGAGAGGCGTAACAACAGTAACTAAAGAGGGCGGGGCTTAGCGAAAGATCAATATGGGTGCCTTCGCATCATCCATGTGGATGCTGCACACTGGTGGTGAATGAGGAGATTCCCCCCAAAAAATGTGTAAATTGCTTTAAGTGTCCAAAAAAGCGCTTTATAAATGCAAGGAATTATTATTATTATTATTTATATAGTAAATATTGGATAGAACAATTGCCTTACAGCAAGAAGGTCGCTGGTTCAAGCCCCGGCAGGGACAGTTGGCATTTCTGTGTTGAGTTTGCATATTCTCCCCATATTCATGTGGGTTGGCCATAGTGTATGTGTGTGAATGTAAGAATGTATAGGTGTTTCCCAGTGATGGGTTGCAGCTAGAAGGGCATCCACTGCGTAAAACATATGCTGGATAAGTTGGTTGTTCATTCCACTGACGTGATCCCTGATAAAGGACTAAGCCGAAAAGAAAGTGAATTAATTTATATAGTATTTTAGATTCATAGTTATAGTGATAATAAACATAATAATAAAATGTCCAACACATACCACATCTATGCTAGCTAAATCCTAAAAAAAGGTTCATAACTATACTGTGGAAACATGTCTATGTTCATTTACAGATTTTTATACCAAAGAAATCAACAATAATCATGTCTGGATATTATTTAATTTATTATATCTTTTATACCATTAATTAATTTGTTTTTATTATATTTGTATTATTATTATGTATTCTATGGCTTTACATTATCAATACTTTTACATTAGCAATTTACAATATATACAACACCTATCGTTTTACTTTACTACACCTTTATTCATATAATGTTGTATTATAAGATTTTCCTAATGTATATAATGTACATATAATATAATAAGAATTCAAGTAGCATATGACATTTGGAATCTGTGCTTTATTGCCACAATAATCACAATGGACAAATCATTTTGTTTATGCAAAATATAATTTCTTTGGAAATTAAGGTAAAATATGAACTTCTTTACATTTTTCGTGAAAGTTACCCAGCTGAAATTTGTTATGCATAAAACAAATTGTATGATTTATTTAAATAATGTTATTTATCACTGAATTCTTTTTTTCATTTAACACAGACACAACTGTTAGTCCGGGTAAGTCTGTTCTTTTTCTTTATTGATCACCAAAGTTTTAGGCTTTGATAGTTTTAAACACTAATTCTATAAGGTAATATGTCTTGCTTACTTTTTTTTTAGATATCCCACCACTGGAGGACAGAGTTGCGGTAAGTTCTTAAGTTCTGTCTAAAATATGTTAGACTGCTGTCACCAGAAGTATTCTTTTATTACTTGACAATTTACATTTGTGATAACAAAACTAAGCAATAATAACTGAGGAATGTCAGTATGTTACGTCAATGTGTGTTAATAAATCCTATAGATTTTGAGTGGTAAAATAATCAAAATCCCTAAAATTTACTGACTTTTTTTTCTAGGTTTACATAGTAGTGGGAATAGCTGGGGTTGCTTTAACTGGATGCATCCTGATGTTAGTTTTCCTCAAGTATGGCAGAAGCTCCAAATTTGGAATGAAAGGTAAGTGCATCAAGTAAATCCACTTGATTTTTTCCCTGTTAAGTGTGTGTTAAAGTCAACATGAAATCAACTGGATTATATTCACATTTTAATATACATGCCCAGTGTCTAAAATACACTGGTACCAAAAGCAAAGTAAAATGTGAGTAATTAGAGTATGTTATAATTATAGTTCTATACTAGTCGTCATTATATAGCACTGTGTTAGCTGGCTGGTAGCTTCATTATTAATTATAACAATGGCTGAGAATGCATCATGTTTTAGTGTGATTAGTAGGGTCTGCTTTACAGTAATTTTAATTGTTAAAATGTTTGGATCTAAAGTGCAGTCCTATAATATTTTAATGTCAACTGCTCTTAATAACAATGCGTTCAGTGTCTTGGCTATTATTTTGGGTTATTATGTGCTGCAGAGTAAAAAAAACATCCAGAGGTTAGCCATATATATATATATATATATATATATATATATATATATATATATATATATATATATATATATATATATATATATATACAATTGATGCCAAAATTAGCCCTCCTGTAATTTTTTTTTATGTCTATAGGATTTTTAGTAATTCAATAATGCAATATTTGTAATAAGTATAGTCTCCTTAAGCAATATTTTTTTTGGTGGGGGGTTGGGTATCGCGGATGGGGGTGTTTGTCGTGGACGAAAGTGAAGACAGTTAGGGAGTCGCTGAAGAAAGTGAAGAGCAGAAGAGAGGGGCGGGGTGGGGGTGTGTGTAATGAGGGGTTTGGGCAAAATAAGGTGCCATTTCACATTTCAGAGGTGCCAGATCCGGATCCGGCTTGTTCTGGCACAAATTAAGCCCTGCAGGGGGGCTAATAACTTACAGGGAGACTAATAATTCAGGAGGGCTAATTATTCTAATTTCAACTGTGTGTATATATAGGCTTAAACCAGCTAAGTGAACCACAGTAAAAGTCTAAAAGTCTGCTTTTAGTCCCTGTACAAACCTGATGTACACTGTTAACCCTCACTATAGATTATGCAGTAATAACTGAAAAATAGCCATCAATTTGTTGTAATAAAAGGACCATGTATTTTACTGTAAAGGAGTAGGATTTGTACGAAATTGTGTGGTTTAAAGAATAAATCACAGTAATTTACTTGATGTACCCATTACAGGTAGTAACTGTGACAATAAATGGTAAAATACTGTTCAACAATTGCTGTCCCATCTACTCTTGCACTTTATGTTGCTTATAAGCAATTGTTTTAATGAAGTGCATGTATCTTCAAACAGAAAACAAAGATTTAGGCATTAACACACGCATACAGAGGCTGTCTGTGTTTTTCTAAACACAAAGGAGTTGCCCCTTTAAGAGAGTCAGGTGTTTGATTGTTGAGTGTTATTTTCACTTCAAATGCAGTCTGATGTTTTAAGCCTTACATAGGAATATGCAAAAATAAGTAAGTAAAACTTGTTCCAAACTTTTTGAGGGTTTCTAAAATATGCCTGTGCATATAGTTAAATGAAGTTAAATTTTTATCTTAAACTTGGTACTTGTAAGGTACAATTCTAGCTAGTAAGCATCTCCTCACAACTTCATACAATTTTACACATTACTTTCTTTTAAACACATTTATTCATTGGACAACTCAGCTTGTTTATTTTTACTTTTTTGTGTTTTTGCAATGTACAGATGCATGTGCAGAAATCATCACAGGGAGTCACTGAAGCATACATTTAGCCATGCAAAGGCAAACCCAGGTTGTGAATTTTTTGCAATAAGTTTTTCAGAGCTGTGTTTCTATCTGCAAATTCATATTCGGGATAGTAGAAAATTTGCTGTCCAGTTGAAGGCTGCATGAAATATTTTAGAATAAGAACGTCATTCACCACTCACTTATCACAGAATCACAAAAAAGACAGGTCCAATACATCACTCTTGTCTGAAGAAACTATCCAAAACTGAGACACCGACAGATCAATCTTATGAAAGTCAGCTACCCCATTCAGATCTGTCTCTTAATAGTGAGGAACCATCTACATCATCTTTTGGCAGTCATAGACATTTAACAGATGATCAGGTCTTTTTAAGTAACCTGCCTCTGTTTTACCTGAAGTTGCAGGGCAAAATGTTACCTGCCAATACAAACAGTCTATTATTGAGGAATTTCAAGCAGTTTATGTTGATGGAATGCATGCCATGCTTGCTAAACTAAAAGAAAAGCTGTTATCATGATCAGATATGTGATACATGTGACATTGACAAACTTACTGATGAACTGGCTGCAAAGGACCTGTTAACTTTGTACAATGGAGGTCAGTTAAAGTCTGACAAAACCAGAAAACAATTCTTTAACAAAGTTTCAACTTTGTTGAACCAAAACAGATTTAGCTGGGCACAGACATGGCCAGTAAAGAACATTTTTGTCAGTATGTGCCAGTTATAGAAACCCCGCAATCTTTGTTTAAGCAGAAATTGGTTTGAGAACAATACAATCAGTCAAAACATCTATGTTTAAAAGGTGATTGAGGATATAAAAGATGGCACATGCAAAAAGCATGTGATCTTTCAAAAGCATCCATCATCTTTATCAATTATCTTGTATCAAGATGCATTTGAGGTTGTAAATCCAATTGGATCAGGTAAAAAAAAAAAAAAAACATAAAATCCTAGCAGTGTACATGACCCTTGGTGACATTCTGTCACACAACGCTCTTTAGTTGACCGAGTGCAGCTTGTTTTACTGTGCAGAGATGAGGACTTTAAACAGTTTGGTCAGAAGAACGTCTTTTCCAGTTTAATTTCTTATCTGAAATATTTAGAGGGTACTAAATATGAGTCTGGTGAGATGCAGTGGCGCAGTAGCGAGATGCAGTGGTGCAGTAGGTAGTGCTGTCGCCTCACAGCAAGAAGGTCACTGGTTCAAGCCCCGGCTGGTTCAATTGGTATTTCTGTGTGAAATTTGCATGTTCTTCCCGTGATTGCATGGGTTTCCGTGTCCATAGTGTATGTGTGTGTATAGATGTTTCCCAGTGATGGGTTGTGGCTAGAAGGGCATCCACTGCGTAAAACTTTTGCTGCATAAGTTAGCGATTCATTCCGCTGTGGCGACCCCTGATTAATAAAAGGACTAAGCCAAAAAGAAAATGAATGAATTTGAGTCAGATGACATTATTATTAGAGCAGGACTTATTGCGTTTTGTGGGGATAATCTTGGCTCCCATGGTATTGGTGGCTTTTTTGAAAATTTTACTACCAACAAGCATTTCTGTTGATACTGTCTCATTGACAGACACATTTCGCCAACAACGTTAAATCTTGGCTTAAAAAGAACAACTGAAAATTATGCACAAAGCATTGAGAATCTCACAACTGCTGACCAATCTATACTGGATTCCATCAAATTCAATTCTGTTTTCAATTCCCTTGAATTGTTTCATAATGCCTTCATGCTTAGGTCATGATTTGTTTGAAGGGATTGTGGCTAATGACTTGTTAGTTTTCATTTTGTTACAGTTGAAAAACAGTTCACATACAATGAACTTAACAGAGCCATTGCCCAATTCAGCCATTTAGGAAGTGACTCTCACAATGCACCATGTGCTGTTAAAGGTGCAGTAGGTGATCTGCCAAAATACTAACCAGTTAGCATATTATCTTTGGACAGCGGGCAGTTACTGTGATTCAAAGCCACGCCTCCTGAAATCACGAACCTGCACACCGTGTCACAGCAGTAGACAACCCACTAGTTCATGTAATTTGCCAGTCAGAAATGTAGTTAGTGTTTGGCCGGCGGGGTGCAGGATTTACATTTATTACTAAGCCACACTTACATGCTATTGCAGAGCGAATATACAGAGTAGCAGGATGGCTGTCATTGTTCAACAATAAACCAATGTGAACATAAAAGCAACTAGGCAGAATAGCGCTATTTACTGATGTTTTTTTGTTAAACTAAATAACAATCTACATTATCGATGCTGTAAATGGTCCCTTATAAAACTGAAAATAGTCTTTCGTCAACACAGCTGTGCATATCATAGTCTGTAAAACACAGGAGCATATAAGCCATTCATAACACTACACAATCTAACATAAGCTAGCCTGACTAAATTAGTTTTAAAACAACATTACCTGTCTAACAGTAATACTTCAGCTATGGTGTCGTCCTTCCTCCAGCATGCAAAACTAACTCCAATATTGATTCAGGATTTTCAAAGTTTCAATTCAGCATTTGATTTCACTGCGTCTGTGATTGTCTCGTGTGTGCAGCACGTGTCATGAACATGTGGTGCTTATGCAGGCAGGCATGCACGAATGGCGGATCTGCTTGAAAAGAAATGTGCATAAGTCCAAATCTGCATTTGCTGACAGACAGTTTGAGCTACTTATCGAAATTATGGGAGATGTCGGCCCAACAATATTTAATTGGATGAACATTTTTTAGTTTTATGCCTTACCCAGAACATAAAAATACATATAAAAAACATTTAGATTATTTGCTTTAATCATTACTATTGGACTGTGAAGAGACTTTCAACCAGCACAACAAAAAATGTTTCTGAAGACAATCACCTCTTGCACCTTAAAAGCAGACAGTCAACAACTTTGTGGTTTTGCTGCACAGAACTGGGGCCTCATGTATCAACGCTGCCTACGCACAAAAACTTTACGTACGCCAGATTTCACACTCACGTTTGGATTTACTAACTATGAAATTAACGTGAGAATCTGCGTTGGTCCACGCCAACTTCATGTCTGGTGTCATGCATTTCTTGTGTGTGTTTGTTTTATTTCCATCGGCGACTCCTAGAGGCAATTATGTTAAATTGCACACTACAAAGTATCTTTGAGTCATGCAATGCCAGCTATATGGGATGGGATCATCCGCATGTCTAGCAGGTATATAAGGTTTCCACACCATGCTTTTGAACTGCGGTAAAGTTAGTTTAACGTTTGTCATTCATTAGACCAGGGCTGCTCAACCCTGTTCCTGGAGATCGACCTTCCTGCAGATTTTT